TGTGTCCCACTTCATGCAGCAACGGCTACAGAATGTGATAGAAAAACAAAAAGGCCATGCCAGTATCTGGAGTTCTGAATACATGTACTCAATAGAGAAATACACATCTTCTAGCAATTTCATGTATTTGATCAAAAGTTATGGTGCATGAATTTAGAGGAACGACCTTTTGGGACACCCTGTACAATTTCTCAGGTTCTTTTTAGCCGCTGAACCGCTGAACCGTTCATTCAACTGCAAGGATCCCGTCCACTTTCATATCTTCATTCCAGTTCGTTTATACATGATTGGCCTGCTGTTCAGCTGGCTTAATTAGCAAGTTATCGCAAATATCCGGTTTACTGTATAGCCTTTTTTTTAGGTTCTTTTTCAATTACTTAGATTATTCAATACACCATTTGCACGATGACGTCATTTTACTACTACGACCAGAATCCTTCACGTCTTCCCTTTCATATTCAAATTTGGTAAATCCCAGTGAGGTTTAAATAACAATTGCACAAGAAAGTAAAACCCTGAAGGATTCTGGTAGTCGTAGTAAAGTGAATGCGATCGTGTAAATGGCCTATTAACTGCGAGGATCACATCCACATACAATCCGCTGTTGGCATATTATATGATTTACCTCGAAATGTAAGTAATCAACTTACTCATACAATCCAGTTTTCCTCCAGGCAATTCGGCTTTCGGAGTAGCAAAGGACATCCATTTATTGTCTTCGCACCTGTATGATGGATTTATAAACAGGCCTGTGTAACCAGGTGGTTGTGGATTGAAGAAATACCCTTGATCGCAACTCAGCTGCAGGAACGTCCCAAAAACATTCGCCCTACCATGACTTGGTTGCGTTGGCGTTGGGCAAGTTGATCCTGCAAAACCGAAGAATAAAAACAAAAGTTAGTAGTTTGTTCGTTAATGAATAACATATATGCATAAAGGCGGCGCCTGGTGAAAGTGAGTTACAGTTTAAGGCGGGTTTTCACTAGCAGGGGAGTCGCAGTCGAAGTCGTAGTCGCAATCCGGGATTAGTGAGTTATGACCTAGTGAATACCATAAATGATCGATTAAGCGCCGCGGCGCTTATTTCATTTCCCCTGTTATGGGTGCGGCGCTTATTTCAACTACGGGTGAAATACTGAGGGGAATATAGAGAGAATCAAGTGAGGTGCATACTGAGTATGCACGATAAAGTATAAAATATGTACACCTTGAACTGTTATATGAAATGGGTTTCAAGAGTTTCCCCACATAATAATAATAATAATAATAATAATAATAACAACAACAATAATAATAATAAAGACCATTTCTTTTTAAAAGTGTCTAAAGAATTATGGTCTTTTGCAATTTGCCCTTCTATTTCCACAGTACGTTGAACTATTTGTATGTACAGTTGGACATTTGGGCGCGTATCTCTTTGTTTACAGGTGTAGGTATAATGCCTGGCAATAAGTAGTAAATGGTGCAGTAGTAAAGCTTTTGCATCGTTAATAAGCCAAATAAGAGAGCTCCCGAAAGGTTGAATTTTTCTACTTTGGAGGTGTTTTGCATTATCCATTGATAGCAGTCTTTCCAAAAGGCGTTAGATTATTTACAGCTCCAAAATAAGTGAACCAGGTTTTCCGTTGCTTCTCCACAGAAGGTGCAGGAATCAGACTGTTTAATTCCTATTTTTTTTTATAGAAAATCATTGGTTGCAATTCGTCTATGTAGAAGTTTAAACTGAAACTCTCTCTGCTACTTCTTTTTCTAGTTTTCTACAATTTTTGTAATTTTTCCTTTGTATGTAAATATGAAATAAAGTCTTGTTGTATAAAATAATAATAATAATAATAGCAATAAGTGTTTATAAAAGACAAACAAACATATCCCATGTTACAAAAGGTACATGAAATAGCAATTAAAATCTAATAAAGTTAAAGAACCAACGATATGGTTTTGATATCTCTTTATATCAAGCGCCATAACAAGGGGGGGGGGGGGGGGGTTAATTTGTAAATAACAATAGTAACGCCGCGGCGTGTTTTTAAATTATTTCCTGTAAAGATGTGGCGCTTATTCGAGTAGTGGCGCTCGGTAGGTCAGAGAGTTTTAAACTCGACTAAATCGGACCCGCAAGAAACAGAACGTTTCCATTTTCTTTGAACTCCCCTCTTGAATCCGTTTAAAGTGGAAACCAGCCTTCATCACCTTATTCATAAACGAAGAGAGTTTACTTTACAATCCGCCTCCCTAAGAACAGAGATAGACTGCGGACTGCAACTTGAATGCAGACGAAGAGAAAATGGAACGACTGGCAACCGACGATAACGTAGACATACTGCCCCCGGACAAAAGGACGGGTGACCGTTTCATGGACAAGAAAGACTAAGACAAACCACCGACCACGACAAAAAATAGACACACTTGTTAATTAAAACCGCATCCACGAAGAACTTAAAGGAGACTCGACAACCGCCCCGAACTCAAGCATAATTGCCAACAACTGCTTAGACTGAAATAAAAAATACTGTCAAAGTCGACTTGACACTACAACACCTAAGATGTAGTGTCCTGCAGCCATCTTAGCTGTGCATGTTATTTATTACAATCTATGGATTAAAAACCAAAGGATGAACTGTAAAGAAGTCCTAGACCCCATATAAAAACAGATCACCTAAAAATATATAGAAACACAATGAAATAATAGTTTCAGAAAATACAGAAATATAAAAGCTACTTAAAAATCACTGAAAAATTTCCTAACTCTAGACTTAAAAATATTTACATCATCAGAAACACGAATGTCTAACGGTAGTTGATTCCACTGGTCAGTAATTCTATGGAAAAAAACTGTACTTCAAGACATTAGTTCTGGCATATTTCTTCTTTAAAGTTAAAGAGTCCTTAGCCCTAAGTGAGAAGCGGTCAGCTTCTGAGTGGAAATCTATAATTTTACTGATGTCAATATCAATGTTGCCATTAAGTACTTTATATAAGAAAGTCACGATTAAAACGTATGAAATTCAATATGACCATGTATGGAATTCCGAAGCTACAGACCCAACATACCTATGCGACCCAGAGTATCACGCTGGGTATTATAGAAAAACAATCGCATATTATTAATATTATAGAAAGAGAGAGTTGTTGCGTAAATTAATGATATTCACTCATGGACGTAAAGGGTTGAACCCACTATAAGATAAATTAAGAGAGGCCTTTGAAAAGCGACGTTTGACGTGATGGATAAAAATGACATGGTAGAGTGAAGACCTATTATTGCTGCTATACCTTCCAAGGTGATGATGAAAGTGCAATAAACAATGTTTCCTGCTGCATCAGAAGCCGTGTATCGCACTGTTAGTGATGTGTAAGTATCCATGGTGAATCCAGGCTCGCGATTGGACAATACGCTTACCACGGCCACATTATCAGTGAATGTTGGTGCTGTCCACGTGATGTCCTTTTGTAGTGAGTTGCTGCGATCAGTTATATTAGAAGGACAGTTCTGCACCGTGGGAGGAGTTACGTCTAGGAGAATAAAATGATCAATTAAAACCTCTAAATTTAACTTAATGTTTTTCCACATTGACATGGGGAAACTGTTGGCTTACAGTTCGGGCAAACGGTGCGCCAAATTTTAAAATAGAAAATTATGCTGGGGACTGGCCACATACATGGCTATTTGCACAATCACTCTTATTCCCAGAAAGGCATACACTCTTTAACCACAGACTGGTTAGATCATTTGGGTGGACCCACGGCTAGGGATTTGGTTTGATTCTGGGTGGGACTCAAGACCTTAAAAGTAAGAAGCGAAAGGTGCTGCCTACTGTTCCATACCAGTCAGTAAATTATTAATCCTTCTAATGTTCTTGGATAAGGATTAAAGCCACATACTCCGTCGGCATCATTTTCACTGATCTGACTACGGGACGAAAGTAGAAAATTACCCCTTTCAACCCCCTGATCCACATACAAATCTTAAGGTGACCTCCATTCATTTTGTTAACCCTTTGACTGCCAAATGTGGCCAAAGGTAAACTTCAACAAAAAATTCCAAATTTCATGTTGTGAAATCTTGAAAAACAAGTAGCAACATGTGTAAGTACAGGTAGAGAGGTTTCATTTGAATGGTCATTCCATAGAGTTTCGTCCACAGACTCAAAAGTTAGAGTTACCTCACAAACCTCGGCTCCATCAAGCACTCTGGGAGTGAAAGGGTTAAAAAATGAGTAGAGAGAATTTATATAAAGATCCACAGTTTTCCTATAGGTGATCATTTTATTGATCCTTGTAACCTTTCCCCGCGATTATACATTGACATTGTTGGGAGAAAACAGATGTTGATCACTCTTGGCATTTAAAGAGCTAAGTAAGTAACAATCTCTAGCGTCGACCTCCTCTAGTGTCTAAAGGTAAATCTAAAACTAAATCTAAGACCTGCATGAAGCAATTTCTCACCAACAACAGTGATATGGAAACTGCAACTCTTTTGTATTCCACTGTCACTAGTGCCTGTCCACGTGACACGATGCCTGCCTACAGGAAAGGTATAATTCTCATTGTAGTTGCTAGGTGACACAACAACGTTAATCATGTTCGTTCTTGGAAGCTGCCATTTATAGCCTAGCACCACCGTCGACTTGGTTGGCTCAAGTTCTTCTACTCTATCGATTGGGCACACGATCCACGGGTCCTTGTACACTGTTGAAAGTTAAAAAATAGTTAAGGCTTGTTTTATTTATTTTTTTTTTTCATTTAAAATTTGGTAATGAAAGTTCAGTGTACAATCATTCGATCAATTACATTATTTAGAGACTGCATGAGTGTGACGATAAAACCAAACCTTCTTCCATTTTTAGTTTTCTTATAACTCTGACCATTCCGCCCAGAAAGAGTGACACAATGAGTAATAACCAGCATTTACGTCAATCCCGACCAATCAACGTGTTTCTCTGCAGACCTCATTATGAGTTTGTTGAATTGGCTGTACTATGAGACATTATAAACATCGAATACATGAAATGAAACTTTTTACCTCTCTCACAGGACAATGCTGCGATTTCGCTCCAGCTTGTGTCGTTCTGACACGTAGTGTATCTGGGACCTCTCAGCGCATACCCATCACCGCAGTAGAAAACACAGCGTGTGCCATACTCGACGTCTGTTTGAGAACAAGATGATGGAACTACCCCGCCGTTGTCTGGTACAGTAAGTTTCATGCAAACAACCGCTAAAGGTAAAAAAAAAACCTTCCAAGTTTCAATGTGTCGTTGTTTTATAGAGTACTGGACAACTGAAGACGGTCACCTTCTGTACCTAGTACTTATGGACTAAATAAAAATACGTGAATCGCAGGACCTCGCGGAGCACTTCGGGGGAACGACAAGAAGTAGGAAAATAAGAAAATTTATGAATGGAAAAAAAGACTAAAGCTATCTAAAAGCTCAGGCGAAACAATTAAAATACGGAAATAAGAAAAGATAACAAGCAACGTCTTCATCTTTAAGCTGTTTTAGAAAGAAAAAACTAAACAACTGATAAGTATTAAACTGTAAATTTAAGGGTCGAGGAAAGCTAGTAAAAACTCGGAATTTTACAAATAATATATTGGCTTATTAACTTTTGTTACCCAGATACTTCTAATTTTTTTATGGCTGGTATTTTCTTACGAATTACATGCAAGAATTTTTTTTTTCACAAGATCGTTAGATCAATAATCCTTTTCAAGTTTTAGACTTAATGCCATGCCTGGATTGCCGGATTACCCAGGTGACTTTTATCCCGATAATACTTGAAGCGATCCAGCTCGAAGCCGCCAGGTTTACAGACAGATTTAAAGCAGAACGCATGAGCAATGTTTCGGTTACACGCTTTGCTGTTGCTTGTTTAGATTGCTGGCGAGCATGATAACATGACGGTTAGCATTAGGTAACATCGGGTGAAGCAGATTGGACATCTTATGAGCTTTACACAACGCATTATTCTCTTAACGTAACGAGACTCGAACAGAACCCCACTTTTTGCATGACTATTAAATCGTCGTCTCGTTTTGTGAGAATATAGAAAAACCTCGACCGGATAACTCGTGCTGGCAAATGCTATCACTTGTCTGTCCCCTGAAATACCACGTGACATTGCTTTTGTCCCATCAATCCTAAAGCGCGTGCAAAGATGGCGGGTATAGTGAATAAGGTCTATTTCCAGACCAATTATCCGGCATCACAATTCCTGGATTCCAGCTAAACCGGCTGGCTCCATTGGCGTATAATTTCGAAATGGCATTTTTTCTGTGTTTTACTTATGTGGCCCTGCAAATCAAGTCAGCCTTAGGAACGGGACCAGACAGGCTCATGTACTCAGGCCCTAAACCTGCTAACAGGGCGGTAAAATTCACGTCACAACTTTCCGCTGGTTATAAGGTAGCTATTATACTTACGTTGACAATAGGGCACAGTTCCTTGCCAAAGTCCGTCGATTTGACAGGTCAGTGTATTATCCCCACCTGTAACGTAATGTCCAGTCTCACAAACATAGGTACAAATCGTGGTACGCTGGATGTTCGCTCTCTCGTCTGTGCAGCTTGAGGGAGTGATGGAGCCACGGAAGGGAGCTTCCAGAGCAGGACAGTAAATTTCTTTAAAAAGATTGGTACGTAAAAGCGTTTAGTACAAAAAAAATAATAATAAAGGAAACGCCACGCCAAAGATCTGGGTTCGGCTAATTCCACCCACAACCGTGCCCACGATTAGTACAAACAAACAAACAAAAATTAGCAAGAACACGCTATTCAAGGAAGGGAAATGTAACCGTATTGAAAATGATGAAATGAGTCAACATAACAATGCAGAAGCTGATTTGTAGAGTTACACATTAGTAGAGTTCTTCTGCAATTCTTGAGCGTCACGCCTTTCTTCTCTCCGCAAACAGTAACAGTTGTCATTCTAAAACCTTTTGAAGGTATGGTTTCCTCATTCTTGTCATCTCATTTCACAATTTTTGCCTCCATTTTTGGCCAGTCGAGTTTTCCTTAGGTTTTGGTTTCATACCTCACAATATCTACTCTGTTTGTGCTGTACTGGATGGTTCAAACCTATGGGTGACAGAATTAACCTATCAATGCACTTGGTACCTTCACATCCTTGGTCATCATCCATTAGTCGATACCCGGCATTACAGGAGCAGTAATATCCGCCTTCATAGTTGGTACACGTGTGTTCACAGCCGCCTTTATCTGCTATGACACATTCGTCAATGTCTAAGAAAGAAGATAAAGTATTTTGAGGATCAAACTCCAGATACTAACAGAACGAGATTTTTCGCGTTCCCCACATTTGCTCACTATTAGGGAGCTTTAGCAACGACGGCGACGAGCACTTCAAAAACAGAAACAGGTTTGATATATAAGCAAAACAACAACTCGCCACGTACATCACGCTTTCTTGTACATTTCTTTGCCACTACACGTCGACTACGACGTGAAATTACCCTATGCAGCGTTTTCACATGGAGCATGTAAACACAATACGATGAATGGTCCTTCTTTTTCTATATTTGGGTTTACATATTGTATATCCTTATCAGACCTTAGACCACCGTTACCTTCGCAGCCTCTCTTGTCCGGTTTCAGTTTGAAGCCGGCCCTGCAATCACAGTTGAAACTTCCGCCCGTGTTATTACACACGTGTTCACATCCAGCGTTATTCAAGCTGCATTCGTTAAAATCTGAAAGATAAAAAATGTAACTTGTATAAGCAAAGGTTAATTTAGGTTGTTAAACGTTACAAAAAAGGTTTTCGGAGAATTCAGTTGGAAAGTAAACTGAACACTTTTTTTAGTCGTTGCCGTGGAAAATTTCGGGGAGCAACGGAACATCTGATAGCTCCGTCCTACACGGAATGTTCCAAACGGATATTCGTGTTCCATTTCTTCAAAGCTACAATATCTCTGATACCAGTTTCAGGCCTTCGTGGCAGTTTTTCGGTAAATGAAAAATATTTCTACAAATGATTAACGCCATTCCACGACGATATTTACCAGTCCTAAATTTTGCTTACCATTACCCAAACCGTTAACTTACCGGTTTGCCTAACATGTAGATGGTAAAACATTTCAGTTTCTTTGTGTTTAATGGATGAATTACCTCAATAGCCAAACACACTCAAGTTGTGCTGTCGAAGCACGCTTGATCAAAATGAAATTTATTAAACTGAACTGAAAGGCTCCAACTTAGCGGGAGGAAGGAAATGGGAGGAGGGAAATGAAAGAAAGTCACATTCGAAATATGCAATGTTCAAGGCACCAGGAGAAGAGCTAGATAATCGGTGATACCCTGAATTCGAAGCAGCTAAACCATTTCCATTTACTATTTTTTCTTTTTTTAATAATTGCTCTTTTGTAGTACAAAGTGAAATGTAGGGAGCCACAAAACAACTATTGTGCAAGGAACAAATATGCCGCTGTTTCTCACCTTCACACTCGAATTCACTGTTCTCTTTGAGTTCATATCCCTGTTTACATGCGCAGCGGTAGCTTCCAGGTGTATTGATACATAAACCAAGTGCGTAATCGCAACCTCCATTGTTAGACTGGCATTCATCTTTGTCTAAAAATTTTGAAACAAGAAAGAAATTCTAGGCTGCGAGAAAAAGACTAAAGACCCACTAAAAGAGAACATTTTTGACCCTACAAGACTGTTTCGTATTGTCACCGCCATTGCTTCGGAACCATAATATCATCTTGGATACTGCAGGTAACGGCGAATCGCATTACAAACAAAATATCATGACTAAAAAATTCATTCACTTTTCTCTTTCCCAAAAAGAATTGCTTCCTCTTTGCTTTTAGTAATTAACGATGAAAGAAAGATCTTGCGCGTTGGGTTTTGAAAACGATCTTTTCGACTTTGGAGGTCAGCGTCATTATGAAATAATTCAGTTTAATAACAATAATAATAATAATAATAATAATCTTTATTAATCTTTAATAATAATCTTTATTTCTTAAGATAAAATTACATATCCTAAGTTACCCTAAGTTACCCTTTCACTGCCAGAGTGCTGGATGGAGTTTTGTAAGGTAACTCTATGTGACCATTCAAATGAAAGCTCTCTGCCTCTACTTACACACGGTGTTATTTGTTTTTCAACATTTCACAAAATGAAATTTGGACATTTGGTCAAAATTTCCTTTTGGCGAAGTTTGGCAGTGAAAGGGTTAAGGAAAAAAAGGCCCTCCTTTCACAGCTAACTTGCTAACCTGAAAAGAGTAGCCCTACTGTATTATTATTTAGCCTTACATATTATTTAAAAAGAAGCTGACTAAATATCGGGATTTTATCGACAGTTATGGAATTTTGTTTGCCGGTCCGCATCCATTTTCAAGTTCAGTAAAAATCGAAACTGACATGTCGACTGCATTGAGTCTTAATCCTTACTTACCCATACAGGTCTTGGCATCATAGGCGAGAGTATAGCCAGGCCAGCAGCCGCACTGAACTTTCAGGTTACACAGGTTATAACAAAGCTGTTGACAGCCGCCGTTATCAAGCTGGCATAGGTCTGCCAAGGAACCTAGATCGAGGAGACACAGACTAGTGAGACAACTTAAACGGTGAGCTGCCTACCGAAGAACAAGAGTCAAAGGATGCTTTCGTATATTTTCATATATTTCATATTATATTGAAACCTTTGAGCTGGTAGTTTAACTCATGGGATTCGTCTAATCCTCACTGGACCAATCCTTAAAAGTAGTGCAAGTTTTTAAACGTCCGGTAAAAGATACAATTGACCATCGTTGAATACTTCCGCCGCAAAAAAATGTTTTCTGACAGGCTGGGAAACTGACACGCTTCCCTGTTTCTACCCTGTACCAACAGTTAAATATTTCAGATAAAATCAATAGTCAATCAATGAAGCTTCAGGGCGAGTTAGACCGAGAGATCTCCAGGCATGAACTTATGTCGGTATTCACGACACAAAATATTGAGAAACCGGCTGGTTCTTCCATGTTCGTCACATCAGCTACTTACCAACTCTGGAGTACACCATCACCTCACACATGGTCAAAATTCCTTCTCCAAACATCTGTACTGACACATATCGCCCTGGGATTGGTGGATCGCAAGAAAGTGATAAAGCTGCTCCCTGGCCCACGGACGTAACTCGGTCAGAACATGTGGGATTCTGTAAGTTATCGGTGTTAACACCAATTCTCACTTCAAAATTCTTGAGTCTCTCGTAGTAGTCAAAACGATTGATGATCTTCACGTCTGCAAAGAGAAATAAATATTGACTCACAATCGCAAAATTAAGGTATTACTAAAAATACTAACACTAGTTTTAAATTGTAATTTTAAATCCCGGTCCCCTTAAGATCATGTAGATTATCAAACAATTCATTCAACATCGTGCTGGGTAAAAACTCGACTTTGAATCATGAAAAATCAGCTGTGAAGAGGATCTTCAGCGGGCATACGTCTTTCGCGTCGATTAGTGTATGATCTGATTGTGAATTCTTTTGTAAGAAATAATCAACTTTTGTCAAACTGTAAGCACCGTTACCTAGGTCACTTTGTTATTTCTTCACTGCTTCCTTGCAAGGATAAGGCTAAACTGTACCTATGGCATTTTTATTAGACTACCTCATGCTCTAACGAAACGGTTAGGATAACACAAAAAAAACTTAGATGACACAGTGCCATTGCCACATCTGGCGGGATATCTTAGTCCACTTTTAAGTGGAAACATGACAAACCGTACCGCCCGAAGGCTAAAAAGGGTCCCTATTAACTGGCGTTATTTTTTATTTCAACTTTCAGACCAGCTACGCATTTATTTGAATTCCATCGTTATGTTGTGCATTGCAGCTTGTCTCAGAGACAATGTTTATTTCGACGCTTAGGCCATATTAACACTGTACCGGATCATAGGCATTCATGCCCAGTGAACACTTTAACGAAACGTGACTGTGACTCCACTTTAGAGATCTGCGCGGCGCAGCTTCACCCCTTTACAGAAATCGCGCAGAAATCACCGTTATTATGTTGAGCAGCAGCCCTGGCCTATAATGTATGGTTTTCGTGCCAGCGCAAACTCTATCCAGTATAGTACGGTGAACATAGCCTTATATCACACACCTGTGACAATGTACTCCCTTCCAAGGTCAACCCTCCACCATGGATTGTGTTCTTTCTTGGTGTGAGTACAGGATTTACTGCTATAATAAGGACCTAAGTTTTCATCTACTGCCCTGCTGCTGAAGCCATTGTAATCAGTACTGGATTGCGCTGTCGTTTTCCTTAAAGCAAGATCTGTTGAGTGGACAAAAGACGAAATCTTGAATATACAATCGCACTGCCAGTCACAATGTAAACCCTTTCAAGGGGATGACAAGCTAAGGCGCTGGCCAAAAACTTAACATTACCGCCCAATCTGAAAGACGTCATTATTTGAAATGAGACAAGATCTTAAATCAAGCCAACATTATAGTACCACTTGATTAAAGTCCTCCAGGTGAGAAATGTAAATACAAGAGAAGAGGACTGAATACGTTCGTCATACTAGCTTATGCGGAAAGATAACCGTTAAAGTAAGCGGCCGTTAATGTAAACTGACTTACTTTTGTCGAACTTGGTACAAATGCTGACAACAGATTCGTCAACCACTTCAAACCTCTGGTCGAGTCTTCGCGTTGCAGCATTAAAATACGTGCACTTGTCCAAGTGTACAGTAGGATCAGCTGTGGATAGAAAATGACAATGGGATGTTTAGAACTACAATGCAGATTTTAAAACTTATAAGCCAAAAAATACCTGTCGATCGTATTATCACTACATAAACGCTAACAAAGAGGATCACTTAAGCCGGAAGAGCCACAAAAGTTTTTTGATTGTTAAAGGACACCTTAGGGAGTCCTTCAGACCCCGAATTACACAGATCCAGGACAAATCTTAAACGGACAAATGTTTTACTCGCCCAATCCGTTTACACGGAACAGTGGAAATTCTGTTACAGCAATGTTTACACGAGTCCGTACGAATTTTTGCCATTGAAATGACTTTTTTTTATCAAGGGCGAGTAACGTAGGCAAACCGTGACAAATTTGCACGGTCTAGGTGAGTACTACCTAGGTGAGTACTCGTGAAGTGGAACCGCACCGGTAAAAGAAATTGGCATTACTTCTGATCTTGCACACTTTGCCGATCAAAACTTACACGGTTCCGTCGGCCCCTTTCAAAACTTTGTCCGGACCCGTAGTAAACGGGGTCTTCATCTTGAACAAAAAGCCATTGTTGTATCAGGATAATATTGACGCTGAGAGGTATGAAGTGTCAAAATGGCGGCAAATTTGAACGTTTCAAAAAAATTCACGTTATGTTCAAATCGCAAATGGCGATTTTCCTGCAGAAGTTGTCGTAGTAATGTGTACTTTAACAAAAAACGTTTGGGTTATGGGCAGTTAAAATCTGCAACTGAATCTGAATTTTTACTGTCTCTGAGAGAACATAGCTTCGACCAACAAATTGAAAAGGGTTCCTTTGACGTATCTGTATAAAGTGAAACTTTACTTCCGTGTCTTACTTGGTATAAAATTGAACTTCAAGTGCTGCTCAAAGGTTGAAGCGTCAGTGTTTTCACAGTTATCACCCAATACAATTTCATCAAAGTCTGGTGCCAGCATAGCCTAATGACGCAAGGGAGTAAAATAATCATAGTACACATGGTTTAAGGGACTTGAAACGTGAAAGGGTTGCTTTAAAAAGATCAAGGCAAGATCGGTCTTCAAGCTAAAACATGGGTGTAAAAGAAATTAAGACAGAATCCACCAGGAAATTAAGTAATTTTCAGTGGACAAAAACCTTGTACCAGAATAATTCAAAGAATATTGCATTATTTTTTTACATTTTCCAAGGGCTAAAGATGTAATTAGTCATCTGTAATAACACCAAAGAAATTTCTCATGGCAGTCCGAGAAAATGAATGTCAAATTTCACAAGAATAGACCTATTAGGCTGACTCAATGTTGTACCCAATTCAGACCTCCCGGGTTCAAGATTCTTTGTGCACTGTATTTGCATTATAATGTTGCATTCACATTTAAATGATATGTACAACATTTAGTTAGCCGAATAGGTCTATTGTGAAAACACAGGTAAAATTGTGAAAATTTCATGTGCAAGATGTAATTTTGTGAAATTTGACATTCATTTTCATTTTCTCAATTTCCTGGTGGATTCCGTGTTAAAGAGTTAGTTTTTGTTACCTGCAACGATGCCGAAATGCCTCGTTTCATAAATTGCTATTCATTTACTCGTTCTCCAATTCCAAACTGTTTTTAATAACGTCCTCAAATACACTTCAAGAGAGAATAATGGGACAGAGAGAGAGACGCCCAGTCTCGCCCTTGGGATTTGTGAATTTCAACAAGTTACATGTATTTTTAGATCAATTACACGCTTAAATAGGACAATTACACGATGACGATATTTGACTGCAACTACCAGATTTCGTTTCGGTTTTGCTTTGTTATTTAAATTTGTCAATCCCGCTGAGGATTAAAGAACAATAGCCTTAATTTGCACAAGAAAACAACAAACTCAAGGATTCTGGCAGTTGTAGTGAAATGACGTAATCGTGCAATTGTCCTATTAATCGGAAGATACACCGACATCTTTGCCAGCTATAATTTAAGAAGCATGACACATTACTGACTTTTCTTTGACTTCCACGACACTTATCATATTCACACGAAGTGGCCGAATATGAATGAAAACTTGAGCTTCTTGTCGTAATTTGCCCAAACACAGACTTGCAAGAAAAAAAAAACCGACAAAGTAAATCGTTCCCGAAAGTGATGCGTGTACGATGCGACTAGATATTTATAGTTGTCTTCTTTTCCCACGATATCGCATTTCAAAGCAGCTTCGCTGAAGTGTTAATATTCACGAACAAACATAAATAAAAGGACGCTAAATTCATATTTTGGAAAGTTTTATTACAATTTCGATACGTTTATCTTAACAAGCCATTCGGGTTTCACTTACCGCCTCGTGAAGGAGTCAACATAAATATTTAATCAAATGTCAAGCATATGCAAACTCTGTGATTGAGAACGTTTAATGGGATTTTCGCAGCAGCTACCACAAGAGCCTTGGATACCTGAAAATTCTTCAGGGCCGTTAACTGAATTTCTTCAGTTCTAATGCCGAAGCAGCAAAAGACTTTCGCGATGAAGTAGATATAAAAGAAGCAAAAAGTTTTGGTTTGGTCAAAGAGCATGCGCTGTGAGGCCCAAATAGCCAGATTTTGTCTACTCCGGCGCAGAGTTTTCCAGAACTTACGCGCGCATTCCCAAACCCGTAAGCACTGGGGTCGAGAATGGATCAAGACAACAGTGGATCACTACCACTGATGAAAGCTGAGCTACGGGGAACAATTTCAATAATGAAGAATAACCGAATTCAACCAACGGCAACCATTAGTTTGGATTGTAATACACCATTCAGAAACAGCCACGGTGCTTCTAATAGTCCCGCACACCTAACAGATGCTATCAACTGATGTCCCGCGCGTACGTAATCAATATCAATTATTGATTACTGTAAGACAAACGATAAACCATGGCCAGCTATTATACGATAAATTTCGTTCTAATGAATACATTCAATAATAAACAATTGCGATTCTTTTAAGGTTCCTCAAATTGCGCTTTCAAGATTAAAACTCACCCCTGATTTAGTATTGACGCATTTCTTGCTACCCACGTGCTGCAATGATCCTCCAGTTGTAAAACTAAACTGATGACCGCCACATGACGAGTACAAACCAAGTGGAACGCCATCAGTTACTGCTGCCACTGGCTGCACGCATTTTCCACTCTTGGTGTGGATCCAGCTACCACTGTCCAATTTAAACTCTACTCTGATAGGGGTGTGAAACAATTTGAATTTTTTCAATTTTGGAGAAACGTTTGTTTACAAAGAATGAAGTGGCTCGTGTCGGGCCTGCGTGTTAGTAGCTTGATACATCGCGGCCATAGCTTCAAATTGCACGGTTCTAAAACAAAAACTATACGCCACTTGCACATCTCCCATAATGCACCTTATTTGCCACCCAAAATTTTGCATAAGCATTGTTTTCAATAGCCTGCGTGGCAGGCGCTTGGAAGTATTTGGGCGCAAGAAAGAAAGGGCGCGCGAGAGGGAGACACGCGAGGGGAGAGGGAGCGCCTGCGCGAGAGGCCCGATTGACCTCGCACAAACAAATCGTACAGCCAAGAAGCGTTGTACATTTATATCCTCGGTTTTAATATATCTGTTATAAAGATCAGCTAGTGGGTTATCTGATGATATAGCGGCGGAGCAATAAACCGACTGTTAACACACAGCTTTAATTTTTTTTTTTTTTTACCACGGGCACACTAAATACGAAGAACAGAGTCAAAAATGGGTATTTCTCAAGTGATGCAGGCTGTGTATTATAAAAAGCTAAATATTACTCTCTCAGATTACAGAGTCACAACTGCACAGACACCGAAGATCGCAGCGTACGTGAAAAATGAGCATTGCTTTTGCTGCGCAATGTAGCAGTCGTCTTGTCTTACTAAGCGGACTTAAACTTTCAGCGGACAAACTGTACCGAGACGTTTTTAAAGGCTGCAGAAGCGATACGTAAACATCAGACGCCTTTGAACAAATAATAACAGTAGCAAAAGGTTTTCCAAATTCATGCCCCTGGTATATGTATCATTTCATCAATCCTGTCCAGGTTTTGATGGCATGCGTTCTGTTCTCTTTCAGCAAAGAAGATTATTTCCTATGCTCTTCTTTTCAACCATTCGACAGATCTTTTGTCTGTCGCTACTTCTACTAATGCGTCCTTGGTGCCCGTCAAATCTTTCCTTCGTAAATACCGCTGGAACACTCCAACTTTTCTTTTAGATTACAGCCACATAGTCCCATTGAACCATAGTAAAGTGACCTCCAAGATCTGAACTTTTATTATGCCATTTAGTGTTTAGTGGTGTAACATAATATTGTACCTTGTCCATGTATTACATGTTTACCAGCGATCTCGTGTTTTCTTTGATTCACATTTTTTCACGTCTAACGCGAATACTTATCCACTTAACAGACTCTCAACCAACACGAAATTTCCGCACTCTCGGGAAGCGAGTTGAAACGATTTTCATGGGCTTCTCGGGCAGACGCTCCCTCTTCCCTCGCGTGTCTCCCTCGCACGCCCCGTTCTTTTTTTTGCCCACTACTTCCAAACGCCTGCTCGCAAGCTATGTTTTCAATTTCTCTTGGGATGGCTGTAATACCCAGGAGAAATAAAAAAACAAAGGTTATGCAAAATTTTGGCGGGCAAATAAGGTGCATTATGGGAGATGTGCAAGTGGCGTATAGAAGGCGTCGTGGTACATACATGATAGGATCAAAAGTTGAAGGAGCTGGCATGGTTAAGCAATTTTGAGCTCTTTGAAAGCAGTAACAAAGGAAATAGCAGCAACTGAATCAAAAACTACAAAACTGCTGGGTAGAAAAACTCACGCTCATACCTTCTTTAGTTTTTCCAAAACCATTCGTAATATCAGAATCATGATTTAAGAGATAATTAATTAATTTTCTGAGTTGTTATTTTCAAAGCTTGGTCAGACAATGACAAGCAGACTTTTATTAGGCATAAAATGTCAACAAAGATTCGCCCATAGTTTTGGAGGATACAATTACCGCTTCAACTCGTTATAATACTCAGTGTTTGAAAATCCCAAGACTCTCCCTTTTTTTTAAATAAACATTAATAGGATGAAATGTCCTGTGGGTAAGGTTTACGTACCGGTCCATATTACAACTAGAATAAAGTTCCATTCTTTCTCCATCAGATACACTGTCACCTCCTCCAACTGGACGGATGCATTTTAAGGAACCAAAGTGAACTAAGGAGCCTGGTCCATTCACACTTGTTGATCCTAAACAATCAAAAATACGAGGTTTAGAAGTTGCTATGAAAACTGCGACAACAACAACAACAAACTTTATTAGGAACACATCAACAAGACAACAGAGTTTAATGTTTAATGTTCCCCCGCAAATAGGAAAATCTAATCGATGCGGGGGAAGGTGAAAAAAGAGAAAGAAATATTAATGCTATTAGAAACAAAAAACAAAACAAAAAACAAAACCAAAAAGCATAATGAGTGCAAAAAAATAAATCAAATAAATAAATTCTTGATAAAGTATATGCAGTATATAACACATTATATTGCATCAAAAGTATAGTATTTTTAATTAAAATGTCCATAAATAAATGAATAGATTGATTAATGAGTATTTAGCAATGGAATCGTGATCGTACAAAACAGTTTCACCAATCTAGTATGTTTCAAAATATAAATCTTTTTTGTTCGTAAACATAGAAGAGGATGATAGCCACCAGAAACAGGGGAAAATTTTGGATGCGAACTGCAAACATGAAATAATCACTGACCTAGAGTCCAGCACATATCAACTCTTCGTCTTTTGATGGACCTAACTGCAAGATCACACTGGAAATTCTGATCATCTTTCCTATGGTCGCATCTGCTTTGGATCAACTTCGAGCCTTGGGATGCTCCGTTCGTGTCAATACACAACTCCGAATACAAATTCTACGAAGCAACGACAAATGGAGACACCTTTAAAGATTTAGAATGTTACGCTCATTTCCTAACAGCAAAATTTACTCAGGCTTAACATCCGACTAGCAGAGCCTTCTTTATTTTTTTCAGTTCTGACTGAATTGATTCAAGCCATTGAAGTCGCCGCAGCCCATACCTCTGGACTACTCGATCTTGATTTCTCCTGTCAAACTAGTAGTTTTTCGAGTGCGTGCATCTTTTTATTGATAAACCGATATTTATAACTGAGCTTGCTGTACCAAACGCATAGTTGTTATGCCTGGTTTCGAAACTGTATCCTATCAACATGCATTTCATGCACAACGGAGATCTTACTCGATTCACGCAGATACGCCAAAATCAAGCAAGCGAAATAAAAGCTCTAATCAGAAAGAGCTATAACTTAGCCTAGAGCCTTTTTAACAGGCGTATTTTTCGGCAAGAAATTTCCTACCTTAATTTGCCCTTTCGGTGTATAATACCAGGTCTGTCTGTCGTCCGTGTCATTGCATCCCGTCACTTTAATGTAGGTACCTTCTGTTTTAATGTCCACGTAAAGACAAGGTCCATATCTGTCGTCTGTGGCTGACTGTTGATTCTCAATCATGAAGTGTTCTTAAAAGTTGAAAGAGGTCGGTCGTTTAGAAATGGAGACATGAGCAGTATACTTCTTTGAGTCCCTTAACTTTAGAGTCATCAATTTTACAAAACTACTGAGGAATAGGTTTCTCCTAATGCGTGTTTTAGATTGTATACCTGAAAGTAGCACCTCCAATATCTCTTTCTCGACAGTGAAGTGAACGTTCTAGGATCAAAATGACTAGAAATCGTAATCGTTATCCATCATTGGGTGTTGTATCTTCAGGTCATTATAAATACTGAATGTAGCATACATTATTTCGCTTATGCATTTATAAAAGGTGCTTCGTACATTTAAGTTTGCTTATTGGAAACCATTACTCTTCTGAAGGCAGCCACCAGCCATGCATACATTATGCTAAACTGTTGAAGTTGTACTTCTAAAACCTTAGTCATTTATGAAAAGAAAACAAAGAAAATCTCTGCCGAATCCTGCATTACCACTAGGAAACACCTGCAGTTCAATTTAAAACCTTGGCAGCGCCTCGTATATTTGTTTGTTTTTTAATCCATTCGATGTTTGAATATCTTATAAAACATTCATTATGGTGTCTGCAATATTACCTGAAAGCTGGAAGTCAACAGCAGGATTCGGGTTATCGTAATAGTTCTCTGAAGTGTCTGTTGGATTCTCTTTGTTCATCTTGTCCTTGTACCAACTAGTGGCACTATCCGATCCCGCTAAAAGACTGTCTATAATTGACTGCCGGCTGCTCAGTTTTAGAGCGATGGAGAGGTAAAGGTTTTTTCCAAATATGGTCATGTCTACACCAGCGGCAAAAGTCACGTCGGGGAAGCCTCCACCAGCGTATGTTGCCAAGCCAAACTCAATGACAATGCTATTGGGACACAAAGAACTGTTGGTAAACTGAAGGTTCGCTGAGTGAGCACCAGGCTCGAACTCCAGCTAGACTACTGACCAGGCTGTCCAAAACTAGTGAGATCATCATCTTCTCTGAGCCGTTGGCCACACTACTGTTCCAACTAAGCATTGAATGTTTCCCAATGAGGAACTACTGATGATGTGGTCATCGTACTGAAAATCGTTAAAACTTCTCACAGCTTCGAATCTTGATTGAAATGCTAACTGTTACCTAAATTTTAATTATCACCTTTAAAAAGTAAAAGTGGTTGTTCAATAACCCCCGGTAACTTTTCTGTAGTGCCTCTTTCAGCCCTACAAAGGAGGGTATTTCCTAAATTTAAGTCATGTCGTATCAGCGACCGCACGTGGAGCACCGTGAGTTTAAAAAACAAAATGGTATCACGTGACTGTACAACCCTCCTTTTGACGTGTGATACACCGCCCATGAGAGCGCCGCCTTTAGACTTCATATCTTTGTTATGTTGCTATGCACTACCAATCGTAAAGTTTTTGCTAATCAAAGTAGAGAAAGCCGATACTACGTGATGTTGGGCGTACAAGGACAGAGGCTGCCGTGCAGAAGTAGAAAAAGAGGAATATATTTGGAACCTCTATTTACGGGACACCCAAGGAACCGGGGCACGTTAAATCATCGATGTTCCTTTACAGAAACCTAAAGCGGGATTACGGTACCCAGACAAAGTGTTCTTTTCCCCTAAATGGACGTGTCTATTAAGCATATAGGAGAGGACGTTTTACCGGGACCAAACTTGTTCCCTGGATGGATGGAGGTGTCTCTTAAAGAGAGGTGTCCCAAAAGGAGAGGTGCCACTGTAGTGGGCATATAAAAACGGAAACCAAGATAATCTAATGCTCTAAAGAGGAAGGAAGTCATAAGAAAAAATCTTGATACATCTACCTGTTTACCCTGAAAGCGGTGAGGAGGAAGTTGATTGCGGCACCAACCCATGCAGTCGCCTTTTCGGTTAAGTACAAGAAACCAACCGCCACATCCAGAACATTGCAGAGACCCTTGCCGATAGCCTCTACAAACTTGCACGTTCCTTCACAAAGATGAGCGATGCCTGAAAACAAACACGGGTGTCTCATATGTATTGTTATCAAGGACAAGCCATCAAATCTTACACCATACCGTTTGAAAGCCTGCAGCCTAATTTTCCAACAGGAGAGATGAATACCTTGCACGAGTCGTAGTAAGTACAAACTTTCACCCAAAATTTGAAATGTGGAAGAATTAAACAACTTTTTGAGCATTTGTTTTTTTCAAAATTCTATATTAACGGGATAACTTTAGCGAAAATATCCTCCACGGTTCCCTTTTGATCTGACTGTGCACAAAAATAGTAAGTCTTGACTCTGGTGAATAATCTTATTTGTTGCATCGAGTCTCCCACCTATCGGCATTCCAGTCCTTGCAGTTTTTTGTCTTGGCAATCAAAAGCCTTTAATTCCGAAAAAATAAGTGATCTCATGCTTCTTCTGACTGTTTAATAAGGCATCTTTCCAGCTACCAGTGGGTGGGGCGTTCCCGCCATCCGGGACAAATGTCGGATTGATTTTTATGCCGTGAAAGAGAAGCGTAAGACCTCTCTGCTCACTGTTTCTGAATTTTCTTTTCTTTCGTCTTAACGAATCCAAAGAATTTGAGATCAATAACCTCACATTGCATTCTCCCAAACAAAAGTACACTTACAGTGGCTGTAGCTACAAACACTAATTTTTTAGGCTGCAACCGTCTATTATTTTTCTTTCCAAAGTTACTCCACGCGTAACCCATGCACGCGAGCGTCCTAATCCCATATTGTAACGTCGTTGTTTACAATCACGCAAACTGGGATAAGAACTGAACGGATTTTAAGAAAAAAGGCGGACTGCAAGCAGTCTGCTAATTTTTTTAAAGGAAACATTACTAACCTGCGCAAGATCCTCCAACAATTCCTTCACAGATTAATTTACTGACAAAACGACGCCGCCGAAGATGATGGGCAAAATTGTCGTTGCGTAGTTTGTCGAGTCCGCGCTTCCTCTTCCAGCCCTTGAAAACTTTCTTGACGACTTTTCCGACCTAAACACATTTGACACCGAGAAAAAAACGAAAACATCTTTAAAAAGACGTGAAAATGTCAGTTGAGATGCAAGGGCGCGAGCTACATGTACGACGCTTAGCATACGTTTAAACAACGAAGCATGCACGCGACAACTATATAAATGATAGTGCAACATGTCGAGAGGATATCTCACTCGTGAAATATTGTTCTTGACATGTTATTTTGATCAAGATTCGCGCATAAGTGAATTTTTAGTTTTTACACTTATTTTTAAAAAATCCTGGTAAAACGTACATAATTTTGAATGAAACATACTCCAGTAACAGGACGCTCCCTATAATGGGTTAGGGGCTCTTTGGTTAAGCCCCAAAATCAAAAAGATCGGGCATCATTGAACATTAGACACAACCAAACTCTATCTGTGCCTCTCAGGGGCGTGCCCCTGTTGCCTGAATGTCTTTTTCTTTGGATTTAGACTTCTTTGTTACTTATTTATAAAATTCCCTTTTTCTTCTGCCTTCTTCCAATCTCGCTTCCATGAAAAAGTTCGTCCTGACACAAATGGGATCATTATAAATTTCTGGGAAACTGCCCACCAAATGTACATACATGCTACCCCTATAGCGCAAAAGAACATCTTTTCGCGCCACTATTAAGTAAGCTAGCTAGTTACTAGGGAGATTAAGTCGAGGTCCCAAGGGGTGCGCTCAAGCGAGGGACTTTACTGTATTCGTGAATACACATGATAGTTGTTACATCTGCAACACAGAGGTCAACATAATGAAAATATCACACAAACTATTATCGAAAATTTACCGGAGCTAAGACGTTTTTGGAAATCCACTTGCCAGCAGCGTCCAAGAAACCTTTACAGTCTTTCTCTGCTTGTTTGCATTTGAGATTTTTACAGTTATCACAATTGAGTGACATCTTTCTTTTGCAGTCCTCTTTCGCTTTGACAACTGATTCTCTCGCTTCCCTCAATTCTTTCTCCGCTGCATCGAAAGCAGCTCTGACTGCCTTTGCAGCAGCGTCTAAAGCCTACAAAAAAGAAGGAAAAAAAGAAACAAGGACTTACCTCGGAGAAGTGTCGAACGATACTTGAGTTAGTTACTACTAGTATTGATAGAAATGTGATGGTGAATTAACTAATCTTAATTGGACCGAAAGTGAAGACTGATCATCGCAGTAAATTTTCCAATTTAAGCAATTGGAAAGAAGAAGCCTGAAAAAAAAAAAAAATCAGGGCTTCAACGCGGAGGTCACGGGTTCGAATCCCGTTGAAGCTCTGATTTTTTTTCAGGCTTCTTCTTTCTAATTGCTTAAATTGGAAAATTTACTGCAATGATCATTCTTCACTTTCATCTACAACCGCAGTTCAAAAATGAAATATTTCATATACTTCACATCCTTAATTGGACCATTGCCGTACTTACGAATTGTTCTATATTTGGGTTCTTGTTACCTAGGTGGGTGCAGTCAAGATTAAAGCGACATTAGAGGTAAAAATCAGACTAACAACTCACCAGTTAGCCTGGGAAAACAGCCGACATTTCGCAACGCCACCACTTCGGTTTGCCCGTAACCTGCGATCAGGTGGTCCTTCTTCCCTTTTTCTTTAGCCACCGCTCTTCCCCGAAAAATGAGAACGCCTGATCGCAGTTTCCCAGCGAAATGACGCCCGATCAACGAGCGCAGAAAGTCCATATATACTAATAACGAGTTACTAACCAGATATGGGAAGTGCTTCTGATTGGTTAAAAGCATATTCCCAAAGCAGCAGAATAAATAAATTTAAAGGTTCACAGGCGTACACGAGTGATGCGTATCACGGCTTCAGTACCGTTTTTTCCTATAAACCTTCTCAAGCCATGACACCTAAGTTAAGGAGGAAAGAGCTTTTTTCTTACGTCATTTATTCCAGACAAGTCCACGGTAACCTTCACATAGAACTGGGAAGAAGCGAAGGTTAAACTGTAAGAAGCCGTGAGGAACACCTCAGCTTTTATAATCCCAAGGAAGTTTCCTTGAAGCAGCAGCTCCATTCTGGACATTGTCAAGTTCAAACGGCAATAGGTTGAGATTCCAAGCAGCTCCGTATACCCCTCAAAGTACGCCTGATTGAAAAAAAACGGTGATTAGCAAACAAAATAGGAACCCTTTTAACCGAATATCTTCTGCCCCTGGCCTGTTTACAATTTGCTTAAATTGTTAATTTGGTGACTTTAATATTGAAACTTCTTAACAAGCTTACTACATCAGGCATACGCATATGAACGAGCGCCTTTCTCTCCGTTTTTCTGTTCTGTCTTTCCTTGTTTTTTTTTGGTTCCTCGAGCTGACGAGATTGGACAGTTCTTAAAAGGTTTACCCAGGGTAGTATTGCTAATCGTTTTTAAACCACTAAAATTAACCAGGAGATTATTTCAAAGCACCGAATCTCCAGTGTTAAGGGCAAATTGTGAAAGTGGAAGTGATAAGTCTTAGTTCATTGTTAAAAAAAGAACAAAAACAAAACAAAAGCAAACTAGCATGGGTGCTAGTCCGATGGACCGAATCATAACGAGTTGAATGCTCACATTTTTTCCTGTTTCCACCTTCGTTTCTTTAGAAGTGTTAAACACGTTCGTCATTTAAAGGTATTATAATACCTTTACTCCCCACTTTTGATTATGTATGCATATCATGTCTTGCCCAATAAAGTATGAACGGGTTGTGCTTCGATTTTTTCGTTGAAAAAAAAGAAAATAATATTTAAACCTAGGGCAAGATTGATAACTAACTAAACTAAAAGGAGTTTGGAGGATTTGTTTGGATTTGTACCAATGAACGCAAAAAAAACCCGTAAATTTCATGGTTCATCAATTAAACGACCTGTAAACGTTTATGTCAACTCACCTCAACGTAAAACAAATCCCGCCTGGCATTGACATAGAACCATGGTCCCAGTGAAGAGTCGCTAGGGCTTCGGGTAATTTTAGCAATACCTAAAATGTCCACTGGGTCAGGCTTTAAGTCCACAAAAATTATCTTAAAAGGAAAAAAAGAAAAAGTTTTAATTACCCTTACAATGTGACTGGGGGAGAGATCTTTGTCTGAGAAGGGAGTTTGAACGCCTACGACATGGGAAGCTTAAGCAACGGCGAAGGCAACGATAGCTAAAACGTCACCCACCCCCAAAATAAAAGGATTCGCGCTGTTCTAAACTTCATCGCTGTAATTCCAACTCTTTTAATTTGTCAAAGTTTGGCGATTTTTTAGAAGTTGATTCTAAATGATTGTATCTAAGTTCATAAAAACTAGGGGAAAAAGAATATCGTTGTCTTGTGTTTACGTCTTCAACAAAACGTGAAATTAGGAAGTTTCACGTCATAGTCGTACAATGACGGCAAAGCAGCGTAAAAAAAAGCGTGATGCACGTACAAAGTTGTTCTTTTGCTTGTCTAAACCTACTACTTTGCCGTTCTCGTTGCCATCGCCGTCGTCGTCAGTTGCTTAAGCCTAGCATTCCCTCGCTCAAGTCGGATGTCTAGGAATTAGTCATGGAGAGCTGCAAAAATGTATAACCGTCCTGAAAACTGCTAGAATCAGCTACAACACCCAACCGTGTTTTTAGAGGACACGCGTTCTGAATACCGCCCGAAGCAGCTACAGCACCGGCCCAGAGTGATAAATAACAATAAAGGTTTGTAAATTTATAGCTTGGAAAAGAACAAAGAAAGGCGAGTCCCGTAGCTACTACTCATTGGTAAGGGGCAAATACGATGTTTCATTTGGTACGTATTGAACTTTGGTACACATAATACATGATCAAATGTACATTAAGAGTTTCTTTAAAAATTTCATAGGCGTTGTAAGGCAATATAAACATCAGAGTTTGGCTCCAATTTAAGTATTGCTTGGAGATAAAACGGATAGACGACAACACCGAGGTCTACATCCCCTACACGTTTCGAACAAACAAGAGGGTTCTTCTAAGTTCCCTTCGAATTGACAAGGAAGGATGAAGGAGACAAAGCCAACAGCTTCATGACAAAGCCCAATGACGCGATCATCTGAAATGAGACAAACGCATGAATCGTGGCTATCACTAAAATTTTTTTTAAGACTCTGGTTAGGGGTCCGCCCTGGGTTCAGTTGAGCCCGTCCCTTTCTGTTCGACAGCGAGACCGGCGCGCATCCAACTAAGCTGACTAAGCGGTGATTGTGGGAATGCATTTCATAAAACTCGAGTATTGTTGCGTACTTACCGTTTGTGATAACCTGATTTCTGCAAAAATTCCCCATCCCAGAATGTTAACCTCTCCTTTCATATAGAAACCTTCGTAGATAAACGGGCCACCTGCTATTCGGAGATCAACGTCAGCCGAAGATTTCGCAACCTAACAGAAAAATTCGTCCGAAAATTGCTATTTATCAGTATAACACAAGTTACTTTAAAGGCCAAGTAGAGGACTGTTTTAGCCTTTTAACTCCTAAAATTAAACAGCCACTTTCTTGGATACACCATCTCCGATTTCGTGATGTTAAAAAATAACATTAAAGCTTAATACAGTTCAGATATAATTCGGAAGACAACAAATTAAACAAATTTAAATGAAATGGCTTTATGTCACAGTCAGAAGGTGTAATTTGGCCCCACTCAGATTCAAAGCAAGAAGAAGAGTACTTCTAAAGATCATCACATTCTAATATGAGGACGACTGCGAAAACGCGAGATTTCCCCAATGATATAAGTTGTGCGAGAACCAACCAGCATCATTTTGGCGGGAAAACACGATAGCCGCCGTCCCTCGACCACGGGTTCTAGGACAAATGTCGAATAAACGACGAAAAAAAAGTTATTAAATGTTAGAAGATTTATCATTTTGCGATCGGGAGAGGGCTTTACTTTCAGTGATAATAAAAACCGTGTTAACGTTTGCGGTGGTGAAAAAAAGGAAAAGGAATCTTTCCAATATTTCTGTTTTCTCAGAATATGCAAAAAGAAACCGGAGGTCAAATTTAAATCTAGTTCTCGTAATCGTCCTCGTCCTGGAATCCAAAGGTCTCTAATATCTAGCTTACAGTCGCCCCTTGTGGAAAGCCGGTAGCTGCTATTGGAGGTGGAAGCTCAAAAGTTGCTCCCAGCAATCTGAAGATCTTCCCAAATGTGAGAGCTGTTATACTAGCATAAAAGAACTCTGGATCTCCGACACCAAAGTATCCTTCACCACCGAAACAATGGCCCTGGAAATAATATACATTTTATTTATCACTTGATATTGTAAAATGAATTAATATTTTTGTAAGAGTGCTTGCTCAACTACTTTATTCTAATCGCATTTTAAGGAAACAGACTTTTTAATCGCTGGTTTTCACATGGCATACATATCACACGGAGTTTTTGACAAGCATTCTACGAAGATCCCTATAAAGCTTATTATAAGATATCTTCTTAGACTTGCGTCAGCATGAAAAAATTGAGATGTTTTTTAAGAGTTCAGTGTCTTTTCAACATCTTCCAGTTATTGCAAAATTAAAGCATCTTTGTCTGCATGACAAGGGATAAACCGTCGGTCTTGTGGACTTGTCTACTGTGAAGACTGCTCACATTCAGTTGTAGGTATATTGAAACTAAACGCAGCATACTACGGTTCAGTATAAGGCTGTAAATTAACGTAAAATGGCTTTACTTTGCAAATCGTGCATGGTAACTCACGTCGTTATTGAAATCTGCTGCTATAAGACAGTCGTATCCAAATTCGACTCTCATTCCAAATTGCACACCAGTTATGGGTATAGGCGCTCCAACTTTGTAAGTCAACCTGTCAATTAAAGCCATTACATCATGATCAGTGAAATAGCGGCGGTTGGAAATCGAGCCAGTAGTGATCACATTCTGTATGCGGACGACGTTAAGCCCATTCAATTTAACAAATGCTTGATTGTTATAATTGCCAAGCATGTTAAACACATAAAGACGTTATACTTAACACGTCCAGAGTTAAAATAAAGATCGCTATACATGTATAAATATACTTGTCTGCATTGGACATCTAATAAATAAATGCGGAAAGAAATATAACTTCAAAAAGTACGTTTCGGTGAAAAGGTTTTGCAGGAAAATTTATTTCCTTATAATCATTAGGCTTAAATGCGATGATCTTTACGTAATTGTTGTGGCTCAAAAGACCTTTCCCGCATGCGCATTCCCCTGCAGCGAGCAAACATAAAGAAATGAGGTCGAGGCCCGGGTGGACAAATTCATGCAGCTCACTGTAAATTGTCCATCCAAGCCTCGAGTTGATGCCTAAGTTTCACAGGAATGCAGCAAAGGTAGATTTGATCTTCGGTCAAATTGTTATTTACCTTTGTTTCAAATTCACTAACATACATTCCCACACTCAGAAAGAAAATTCAAACTAAAGATAAAATTGAACCACAACACATCCATCGTCAAATTACTGACAACAACGTTTTCTTTGGGTTCTTAAACTACTTTGGTCTGTATGGCAAAGAGATGGGCTTGGAAATTCTTGAAACTAATTTAACGAGAGTGGAATAAATAAAAGAATTCTCCCGTAGTTTTCCAAGACAAGAGGTCAACGACCCATTCTCTTGGCAATCCACTTCTCCCTTGAGTAGCTTAGTTTCACCTTAAAGTGAATAAAGAGCTGTCTCCGGCATCTCAAATATAAGTTTTAGTGTAGTTCACCCCATGTTTTTAAGAAAGTATTGCTTGCACCATCTTTTAAGTTGTCACTGAAGGATTAATTAGTAATAACATGTATGTAATTTTTGCTCTTACTTAGTTAAGAATAAGCGTTCTTGTTGTAACTACTGTTTTATCTTGTTTGATCTCATTGTAAATACCGTTATTGTAACTACTTACTGGCTGAATACCAGTTAGTGATAAAATTCATTCATTAACAATTATTCTTTGAAATCGAGGTGAATAGTGGCTAAATATTCTCAAAGCCACTATTCACCGAGATTGAAAAGAATAATTGTTTTAGTATAAACACACGAAGTGATCTCAACAAAATCAGAGAGGAAACCATTAAAAAGTACGGTTTGATTGACAGAAAAATCACGCGTAAGTTTAAAAATAGATCTTTGCAGAATTTTCAAACATGGCAATTCACAAGTTTATCATTTCGCAAACAACAGCGTAATGGCTTAAATGGAACTGCTAAAAGTTTGAATTGTTTCCTTACCCGAGAAGAAAAGTAGAGCTTTGTTGTTTTCTGTTGACTCGCCAAGTTTATAGCCAAAAGGGTTTGTTGTGTCGTTCTTCGCACGAGGTGCTGACAAAAATGGCGGCTCGGTTGCTCGAGGTAAGAAGTCGTCTTCCTGTATCATTTTCTTTCCTGTTTACTTGAAACGTAGAATTTCTGCAAACATTTCCTTTTAAATTTGTTTGTCATAAATAAACTTCGATTTTTGAGCCAAAATTTTCTTGTTAGAAAACGCTGAGTTCACGAAACGGCTTCTTCTACGCGAATACACGGGAGTTGTAAACAATCCATCTAGCACAAAACTCAGCTACAGTAAATTGAAAAACGCCGTATTGAATCCTTCCAAGTCTTTTCTTGCCTTAAAAAAAGTCAGCCCTAGGATTTTGTCGACTTTTAAAAGATCGTTCTCTAAAAAAATGGGAAAAACCCTGAGCTCACACATAATTCACTCGCTAGGAGGTGAATATTGTTAAATAGTCCGAGATAGCGAACCAATCAGATTGCTTAAATCACCAAGATCACTGAGTGTGTATATACTAAACACGGTTATATTATGAAGATATCATCGTTTCTCAGGCATAAGTTGTATACGCAAACGATTATAATGACGAAGACGAGGAGGAGGATAACGTATGCCCTTACGTTCAAAACTGTTGCAGCCTCATTCAACAACTTCTTACCCAAGAAAGATGTTTCCTAATGATAACCAAGGGATCCAATAGGCTTTTCGCCACATTCCGCGCATGCCAAGCTTTCCGGAAACTTTCTGTTCTGTAAAGTCGTACTCCAACACCCCAAAGAGAAACAGATCATTTCCAGGAGCTATGATGCCGTCCCGTTCGACTTCGCCGTTCACAGGTATTTTTATATCCGCGCGGAAGCCCAGTTTGACATGTGTGTGGGTAGCGTTGAATTCCGCCTAACAGTTACACAACAGAGAGATTATGGTTTGGACACAATTCTAGACTGAGAAGCTGTCTTTATTTTTATTTAGTTAGTAAACAGCTGAAGATATCTTTATACTTAAACTGCTAAAAACGATCCATGATGGTGGTATGTCTTTGCCTTTTTCAACTAGCAAAGTGAGAAAGTACAAAAGCTCACCTCGACGTACAACTCAAGCCTATCAAATGCCAGTCCATCCCAGAGTTTAATATTACGAAACCCGGTCGTGACTTTGACCTTTTTCCATTCAAATTGTCCACTAATATACCACTTGATGGTTGGTCCCAGAATCATCTTGCAAATTTCACAGAATTTGTTATTTGAACAGTCCTTCGGTAGGGTAATTTGGGCCGCGACGAAAATACCTTAAATGCAAAAATGGATAGTTAGCAAACGAAAGAAAATAAATTGACCATCAGTCTGACTATAAACGTGAGAAGCGACACTGAAACAGCCAATGCAAAGTACAGTATAAACCGTCTTTTAAGATGTTATTCAATAGACCTTTTTACCGATACGGCGGCCATATTGAATTACTTAGATTTAAGGAGTATTATGGGATGCCCAGGGGGCATGAGCACTTCCCAATATACTCACTCAGTATTTACGCGCGCTTTTCAGGCCAATTTTTCTTTAAGTTTTAGTCTTTAAGTTCATTGCTAAAAGTAGTAAATGGCAGCTTTAACTGGCGCGAAAGGTGCGCGCAACTTAGTCTATCCTCATCACTCTACTTCCACTTTATCTTTACCTTACATTCTTCTTACCTCCTGGGACAGAGACGGTATGAAAACTTTTGAGCGGTTCTTTAGAAAACGTGGTGGTACTATCAACAAGAACCTGCTGAAATCCTAGTGAATCTGGAACACTAAAGCTTACACCAACCTATAACAGGTAATTGAAAATTTTAACAGGTAAAATTCTAACGAACTACAGCGGAACCTCGATATAACCAAGGGCCAAAGGACTGACAAAGTATCTTCGTAAAAAGGTTTCGTAATATCGAAGCTCTTTTCCACATATTTCACTATTACTCGCAGGAAGAATAAAGTTCTTTGTACCAAGGACGTCGTAAAATAAAGATTCGTCATTATCGAAGTTGGACTTTAAGTAGTAGAATAATTATTACCCCTGAGGTACTCTTATTTTAGTGTCATATTAACAGAAGGATATCTGTATTAAAACATAACATTGCAGTTATTTAGCAGATGTCAACACGTTGAAAATATCTTTTTCGGTCAATATTTCTTAAATGCGACTTTTCTCATTAACACAAAAATTTATATCCCTTAGTGAATTGGAAATTTCCGCTACCCAGTCAAAGCCTCGTTAACAATACAAAAGTATCCGAATAACTCAGTAATCACCGTGCACCATTTAAAAGATGAAAGACGAAATACACGTCATGTCGCCATTGCAGAAAGATTAAATAAAATGTCCATGCCATCCTTTTAAATGTCTCTATCAGTGGGCACACTAAAAACTGAGCTACGAAAGGGCTCTTGATGATCGAGCAACTTCAATCACTACTTACGCTTGTGAAACGCGAACTGCAAATTTCTAGGGTCAGCAATGCCGAATACATCCTGTTTGCTGGTTATGAAACGAAACATCTCAAAGAAGAATCAGATAAGTCCCGCCATGAACATTAGGCCGAGTTACGCTTGGCTTGAGTTATGGCTTGTAAGTCTACTGGCTTGCCTCCTGCAAGCTGGGTTTCGTAACCTTCTGTTCTAAACTTAGATTGTAAGAGGGTTAAACAAATCGATTACTGGGACACTTACAAACGCAAAGCATAATTAAAGCTAATACCTCCAGGTCTATTCCAAGGGAATTCAAGAAATCAACCTTTATTCCAGACAGCTTCTCTGCCAATTTGCCGTACGATTCTTTATCAAAGGAAAAACCAATCGCAAACTGCGGTCTTCCAAATTTATATCCCGCCAAAATTTCAGCATGAATCGGAACACCGCCAACATCAATCGTTCCAGTAAAGCGGTAAAGGCCGAATTGTACTAATTTCCTTGCAAACTCAGCAGGCGCCATATTGAAATCCCACACACCAATTCCCCTGTCCAAGTAAAGAAAACATTGGCTTAGATTTTCTCTAAAATGGTATTAATCAAGTCCGCCATAGTCCGAACTAAAACGGATAATCTTCTCTGGGTTAGGAAATGCGCGAGCGAAAATGTTATCATTATCATCATGATGATTAATCACATGTTTCTTAGAGCCAGCTAACTAATGACGTGATCACAAAGCGGTCGACGCAAAAAATATTTCACCGCGTTTAAGTCACATGAAGCATCATAACTTTGAGCAGTAGTTGACTAAGTCATTCCAATTTGCGATCCACTAAAATGTCAGGGCAAAAGGGATTATGGGAAAAAATCTTTATTCCCGATCCATATATTATTGTCAATTATGACTCACAAAGAATAACAAAACTTACTGCGGTGTGACATTGGTTTTTTAAACAACTCTGAACAACTACCTGAATACAGAAAGTTTAGGGCAATCATTTTTTTTGGCATTTCCCGTCCGTCTTCACCCGGATAACAAAGTTAAATTATTTTTGTGACCATGCTCCGCTGCTACCGTGTTTGCACTCCGCACGGGAAGAGTAAACCTACTTCAAATAACACCTACCTAGTAGGTGCAAAGTGCTCTTAGTGTAACATTACCCCTTAAGTATGACCTTCAAGAGCGAGTAAATTAACGAACCAAAACCAACGGCAACTTACTTCAGGGCATTGACAAAAAAATCTGGTAAACTTGAAGGATTTAAGCCAAACGTGGTTAACATATCTCCAAACGTAGCAGAGGCAGCCGTGCCCTTGGCGTACACCGATCCAGTTGCTACATCTTTCCACACTTCTGTAGCGAATACATTTCCTGTTTTGAGCGTATAGTTCCCTTTTGCTGAAAATTTTTGAGTACTTCCCTCTGTGTAATAGGAGAACCTAAATCAGGAAATCAAAAAAAGAACTGATTACTTACATTTGAGTTGACTGGTCAGTGGGGAGTGTTATCAAGTGTATAAAGTAAAGAAATATCCAAACCAGTTCACTAACCTAATTTAGAGTATTTCACAAAAAAACGTAGCAACTGATATCAGAAAAAAACTCAGACTGTTAAGTCAGGTTTCCATATGATCGCTACAATTGCTGAGAAAACGGCGATCGCAAAAAAAAAAAAGAAAAAGTTCTATCTCAGCAATCGTTGATAGCTACTTCTCACTGGAAAGTGGTTTCCATATTATCGCTATCATCGCTGCGATCGCTGAACTCTTTTTTCTCAGCGATCGCAGCGATCACGGCGAACGTAGCGATCATATGGAAACCGGGCTTAAGAAGTCTTGTTTACTGCACAAATGGGCAGTTTTTCTGGTTACAAAATAACGTCGACGACAGCAACGAGAACGGCTAAAAAAGCAATAGGTTTGCACTTATAGCATCACATTCTTTAGTTAAGTAGTTTTTATGGAGTGATTTTACTTGAATCGTGAAACAGATGCTAACAAAATAATGCAAAATAGCGAGAGGTAAACGAAAGAGGACAATAGAATATTTGTTCTTTAATTTAATTTTCTACCTTAGTTAATAGCCTTATTATGATTTTTAAAAGGCCTCTTCGGGAAAGATTATTGCCTGATGAGTGTGGTCCTACAATTTCGGACCATACGAAACAGCAATGTCGCAATAAACGATCAATGATTACTCCGGAAGACTGAACTCCTGTGATTATTAATACTATAGTCAATGCTCTTCAATTAAATGAACTGAGCGCTCTGCGAAATACATTCTACCCAGAATACAAGTATGTATAAATATGTATGTACTGACCTAACATCGGTTATTTCAAATCCAGCTTGCGGGGAATATTTATCAGACTTAGAGCACTGGAACTCATATTTTCTTAGAAGCTGTGTTTCATCAATCCAGATAGAGATAGCAGGGACATTTTCTGTTTGTTCGGGGCGTGTCCAACTAGGTAGTACATCAATCCTTGCATAGTACGTTGCCTTGTTATCCACAACCTTTTTAATAGTTAACGGGCTGACAATTTCAAAACACACCTGAACAAGAAAAAAAAATGAATAAAGCACAGTTAAGTGAAGGGACGTTATTCACCCCTGGTCTGCTGCAAGCAAGAAGAGGTCTCTTCCAAATTACGTTTTACAGTGTTTATACGTTTGAGCTTAAAACTTTGCAGGACAACAGGACACTACATTCATGACAATCGTATGTGATTTTTTAATTATCATTATTATTTTTCGATCTTAACGGTTTGACTTAACTGGTAAGCAATTTTGAAAGAGCCCGCAGCGCAGAGATAAGCTCAAATCAGCTCAACAATCCAATCGAAATTGGTTCGGTTATCGTTCATTTTTAAAATCGTCCATGTCATTAGCAAACCTTAGTGAGATTCTTCTTTCCATAATCATCTTTATCATCCGGCTCAATTTTGATCGCAAACCATCCACTCTCCAACTCCGTCTTCATGAAATTGAAATTTGTATACACAGCATACGGAACATCCTGTTTGTTTGCTCCTGTGGCTGAGAACTTCTCGGTTGCATCGCACTCCAAAGCTATCCAGGAATTAGGGTCAGCTGTTATTTTGTCTGGCTTAGGTGGCTCATAAGCTAAATCGAATAATGCGATAATAAATAAACATCAGCTTCTTCCATGTACAATATAACTATAAAATAACCATCAAGAGGCAGTAAGATGAAAACAAGAGCATTCTGTTTCAAGAAATCAAGCTGAGTTTATTACAAAAAAGGGAAAAGTAGTATTGACTGCAAGGCATGAACGAGTTTAGAGAACGGGTAAAACGACTTCACCATTTCGACTTTGAATGAACAAGAAAACTGAGACAATGTCGAGACAGACTTTCAAGGAGTTTAAAGTATCAGTCATTATGTCAAAACGTAAGAAAAACGATGTGGAGAGTAGGTGAGGGCACACGCTCTAGCCCCCTTTTCCCCTGGTTTGTTGACCATTAACGTCTTACTTGTGCATCCATCTGCTTGGGTGGGGCAATCTTTACTCTCTGCTGACAATCCCACACAGTCATCTCCGCTATTAGCTGGAGGGGGATTAGTGCAAGTACGGGTTCGTTTGGAAACACCTTGCAAACAGTATGTTGGCTCTGAGCATGTGCTCCAGGAAGACCACATTGTAAAGCCTCCATCGATTGCACCTCAAAAATAACAGTAAATTAGTTTTGCGCGGGGACGGTATTCTGTATTATGTGGTGGTGGTGGCGGTGGCGGCGTGTGTGGCGAAGGTGGTGGTGAAAGAGTGGAAACAATATAAATGTAGAGATGCAAAAAGGGAGGAGGGAAAATGAAAAAAATTACTTTGGTGGTAGAAAGAGAGAGTTTGCCTCTGCGACGTTATTTATGCACGATTCAGGGAACCGGAACTTTAAAAATTGAAAGCAGCAGGAAATAGAACGTGCACAATTACGTTAAGATCAAGTGATTCTAAGTAACGGGTGGCTTCATACCCATATGAGGGCATGACGGAAATAATTAAAAATAGACTATGACATCATCTATCTAAAAATAACTAAAACCGGTTAAATAAAATTAAAGCATAAAAAACCGGTTTAAACCGGTCAAGGCTACGTGACTTTATTGATTCTGTTGTATTAAGAATACAAAAGGTGTGAGATAATGAGATTCCTCCGCCTTTTATTCATGAGATAAAGACAAAAGGCTACGACGTCATCGGCGTTAATGTATTCCCCCGCAAGTTAATGAGATTCCCCCGCAAAAAAGGAGTAACCGGTGCGTAACATACTACTGACAAATTCACAAAGCGTTTATTGGTCTTACTATTAAGTTTCATTATGTACCTTGTGTTATGAAATAACCGCGTTATTTTGCTAAGACTACACAAATAGAATAGATAAATATATAAAATAATCCAAGCCGCATCTATCGGTCGACTGTGTTCTTGTTTTCATTCCTTCTCTTGTTTTGTATGCTTTTATTTAAACTTTACCTTTTTATTGGAACTCTGTGACTTTCTATTCAAGAATTTCAAGTTTTTGTGCGGTTAACCGTTGTATTACACTCGAATTTGCATTTATCGGCAACTCTGTGAGCGGAGTCGTAAGTTCTTGAAAATGGTTTTAATTAAGGGTAATCAAATCGTAGGAAGAGACCTATTACAGAATTGAGACATGTGCCGTAGAACTGAGTACATTTTGGTGATCGGTTACAACTCTTTAGTGAACGCTACTCATACACTATACATTTTCCTTGAGGACATTCAGCTTCGTGCTCATATAGGAGGTCAGGTGCATTAACCAGCGATGCAAAAGATCTTGTAAAGGAAAGGCAGTCACCATTGGTTGAAGTCACTGCGTTTCCGTTTTGATTCACTTTTTGTTGAGAGAATTAAGGTGGCTCGATACAGTTTTTCAAGGTCAATACCTCTCAAGTTTGAGCATAAACTACGTCGCCAAAAACAAAGTTTTGGAAAAATTGCCACCAAATGACGCTATTACCTATTTTACTTGCAGAAGTATATCTCGGCACTGGGAACTGTTCTACCAAAACCATTCACAGAAGCTTTTTCCTCCAATAGCAGCCTCGGTGGTCGTGAAGTTTAAGCGAAATCTGTAAGAGCGTTATCGAGATATTTTGCGATAATGTTTTTATTGTTAGAAACACAGTAAAAATGGACAATATTGTTGTTTGGCCGTTATCTGTAGAAAATGAAGCGCTTTTGACACGTAATTTCACCTCATAGTAGTTTCAATCTTTTTAAAAGCGTGTGTGAAAGATCATGGGAGATAGCTCCAGCCGATTGCTAGAAAGAAGGGTTTGATTAGTATGTATCGAAGCGCTCTTGTTAGCGGTTTTGTAAACATTTTGGTCTTCTTTAACAAATTAGCGAATAATTTTTAAACCGCTCGATAGATTTTTTTAAAAATTTAAGATTCTTGAGATTAACCTTCCTTTTATATGACCTTTTAGTTTCAAGATTATTGATATCTTTTAAGGCAGCAAAATAAGGGCTACAATTCGTTACTTTTTTATCGGAAGATTCCTCATTACAAGTGAAAGCCTCTAATTATTCAAGGCATTGTCTCCAAGTTTCATTTTCACGTGAACAACAGTAACTAACAATGCATTTGAAATATGCAAAAATGCTAGCTTTTGTTATGCACGAAAATATGAAACTTGGACACAATACCCTGAATTATAAGAGGCTCTCACTTGTAAACACAAAATTTCTGCCAAAATATTAGCGAATTGTAGCCCTTATATTACTGCCTTACAATATATCAATAATCTTGAAACTAAAAGGTCATGTAAAAGAAAGGTTAACCTCAAGAATCTTAATTTTTTAAAACAATCTACCGAGCGGTTTAGAAACCTCATGAACATCGAGGCTGCTATTGGAGGAAAAAGCTCCCGTGAATGATTTTCGAAGAACAGTTCCCAGTGCCGAAATATACTGCTGCAAGTAAAATAGGTAATAGCGTCATTTCGTTGCTATGACAACTCTGATGCCGTTGCAACCCTGATCATAACAAATTTTCATCTTCATCTAATACAACTGTGGTGGCAATTTTTCCAAAACTTTGTTTACGGCGACGTAGTTTATGCTCAAACTTGGGAGGTATTGGCCCTGAAAAACTGTATCGAGCCACCTTAATCAAATTGAAACTGGCATATTTTGCCTGTGAGCAACACCCAAAAATCTGCTTGAATTTTTTTTGGATACAAAATTTACAAAATTACGAAACAATACTAGACCGTGCGATTCTTGAATGATTAATTCAAAAGTCAAAGACCGGTAGGGAGGTTATTGCCATAGTTATACTCATCGGGATAACTCTACAGTTCGTAGGAATTTAAGGAATATATAAAGGAATTGTCAGTTTATAAGGTCTACTCACCAGGACAAGACGTTATTTTACAGCTTGCTACCTCACTGAAGTCTCCAGTGCAGTTTTTGCCATGGTAGTTTGGCACTGGGTTGTCGCAGGTTCTGTTCCTTGTGTGGGTACCAGTCCCACAAGTCTGACTACATGTTGTCCATGTAGACCACAGGTTGAAACCACCATCAACTAAGAACAACAATTGCATTCGAAATTGTGAATACAGTAAAAGCCCACGTGTAACAACAATTTCTTAATTCTGTCAAAAACGTTTCATGTATTTTGAGGTAGTTATTCGCAATTTAGGCTAGGTGGGTTCTTAAATATGTTTCTTATTTCGATGAAGGAGCTAATTGTCGTTGACTACCAGAAAAAATTGGGTTTGGTTCTTAAATATCACGATAAGCTATTACAGAATGTATGTAATATATCTAGCATTATCTCCATAGCATAAGTTGTATGATAAAAAGCAAATGGATTAATAAAGTATTTTGTTCTATTAAAAAATCTCAAAATCAAACTTGGTTAAAATGTTGTAATTGTGATTTGTAATGGTGTTTATCATCGTCTAAACTGTGACCCACATATAAGTGTCTGCTTGATCTTGCTTGCCTTGGATTTTACAGGTTTTACATTTTGAGTATTAAAATAGCAAATTTCTGCCAGCAGGTTCTCAAACTACTAGGTTCTTACTCGTGGGTTTTTACTGTATATAGGACTTCTCTTGGGTGCTCCATGTGTAAATTGGACCAAATCCTCCTATGGAAGGTTCTCATTGAGGCAGGACCTACTTCTACAAGCAACACCGCTAGCGTTTCGGTCAAATCCGTTAATTGGGGAAATTCCCTTTTATTCGCTTTGATATATAGTTTGATGAATAGGTAGGACGAAATCGTTACCAACTAGTGCTAAACACTGTTATTCACATAACGATGAAGTAATTAGCTGATTGATTGATAGACAAATTAAATTGATTGGTTGATCTATCAATCGATTGATGGAGGTATCTTTAACAACCCAAGGCAGCGACCGCTCAGAGGAGATCAAAAAGAGCAAGGGCAAAAAGGAAACAACCCTGCAGTTCGACTTAATTTAGGACTTTTCTTTGCCGTTGGACACACTGCAGGACGGCCATAACGTACAACTTTCTCGGGCAATACAACGAATTTTTCTGTCTTATTCTGAACTTGAGCGTGGCCGATGGAAACTCAACACCGGAAAATTTGCCGATAGAGTGGAACCCCGTTAATACAGTCACCAATATCCCAAAAAAATTTGGTCGTATCAATGGGGTGGCCGTATTAACGAGGGGTTATTTTTTAAAAGAAAATGTACGGCGGTTTTTGCCAGGCCGTAAGGCGAGGTTTCACTGTACTTGACAGATTTATATGTTCTACAACCAGTTGCAAAAGTACTTGAGACACTGTACCGTATTTTGGCATAAATGCCCTGTCCATGATCTTGTGCTTGTGATCCCCCTCCCTTATCAAAGTTGCTAGCAATACAAGACTATACTCAAAACTTGGAGGAACAACTTTGAATGGGAGGGAGGAGGGAGGTCAGTATTTTATCTCACAGACCTGTAACCTGGAGCAATTTGAAGCAAGAAAGGTCGTTTTTTCGTGGGAGTGTCTCAACATTCTTGCAACTGGTTGTAGCAATGTTCGCAATGAAGTTTGAAACAAATCGAATCCAGTTTAATCTCTCTGCCGTCGCTGTTATCATTGCTTAAGCATTCTAATGTATTTTTTTACTATATCCACCTGGACAAGGCGTAAGGCATGACTTGGCCGTCTCTGTATCATTACCAAGACAGGGCTTCCCGCCATTCATAGCGGGAGGCTGATTGCACAATCGCGTTCTCTTTAGAATTTCCCCTCCTAATATTCCACAGGTTTTAGAACACTGCGTCCATGGCGTCCAAGGACTCCATTCACCGTCGAGAGGAATAGCTAAAAAGAAACAAAAGACGCTGATCATTTTAAGCATGTTTGTTTTTAATGGGCTGCAGTTATATGAAAACAAATGGAATTTCGTGTTTTCAAATCGTTGTCATTGATTTAATCTAAAACCAAAAAATATTAACAAAGAATATAATTTGAACATAATCTGCCGTATCTTCTGTCCCAAAAAAGTGTCGAATGAAGATCTATACCACATGACAAGGAGCATAAGAATCACCCTTGAGATCTAGAGGCCCCGCCTCAAATGGGTAGGGTGGGGCATGTATGGAAAGTCAGGTGATTCCCAAGATTGTGCCAAGATGGAGTCCACCCCGTAGAAGGAACGCTGGGTGGCAGAAAAGGCGCTTGGGCTAGAGCTAACCTGGGGTGAGACCGAACACCTTGCAAACGCCCTTCTTAAATAGTGTTGTGCATGACTAGTCCCGGCCATACATGTATGTCCCACCATAGAAAAAGGGGATTAAGTAACGTTGTTTTGCAGCAAGACATAGAGGTCAAAAGAAATAAGCGGATTTCAAAGGTCAATATTTTCTTAAAGCTGCAAAAAATATACATAAATTAAGTTTTACTAAAATGGCGATTTGAATTATGAAACAAAAATTCGTCTTGGCGACTGTTTTCGGATGTGCGCAGAGTAAACTTATTGCAATGAGGATGGTAAAATGTTGAAAAAAAAATTAAAATGCTGGATTAAACCTGGCCTGGAAATTTTCGCGAAACCGGCAGAAAGCTTCTTCTTTTGCATTTGAATAGCAATTGGTTCAAAGGATTGTCTGCGTCCACTGCGGTTGGTCAGGGTGATCGCTCATATTTGCTTTCACATGATTTCAAAAAAAATGCCATAAATTAATCATACCAGCCGAATTGTCTGTTGACTCCCAAAGAAAACAAATGACATTACTACAAAATGAAATTATAGTAAAACGAATGAAACAGATTATAACGAAAAAACTTGTTTTGATTCGGCAAAAATATTATACAACTATCCCCCAAAGGGAAAGTGAATAGTTGTGGATATATATACCGAGACGCGGAGCGTCGAAGTAAATATCGAGCTCTATGAAACGACCCTGAGGGGGGAGAGGTGCTTTAGCATTTACCAAATCATTCTGATAAAAATCAAAAAGGAACCTTTTGTAAATTGAAGACGTTATTTAGTTAAAGTTTGTTCACGTTTCAATTGACAGTGTTTCGGGGATCATTTTTAATGATTCTGTTGCAAAGACAGTACGAAAATTGTTTTCTACCGACCAGTAAACACTGACAAGCAAAATTTTGTCTCTTTCTTGGTATTTGTTGGTACAGCTGATTCATTTACCGCTAAAATTTCATCTTTCGAAACTGTCGCGAAACGAGCAGCCATTTTGAATCTCGTCCCAAAACAATGAATATCCTTGTTCCGAGTTACGGGACTGAAGCCAATCAGAACGCACGAAAATCACTATCCACTGATTTGGTGAATACTTATATTGAATATCGCTATCATTTTACGCCAAAAGAAACAGCTTCAAGTGTTTTACTGAATAAAAAATAACAAAACACTTTTTTACTAACTTGAGCATGGTAAGGTACATTCCAACTTCGTTTGGAATGAATCTCCGGAACATGGCTTCCCATCGGCAGTGGGGATAGGGTTGCTGCAGTTCCTGGTTCTGTTAACTATGGATCCCCCACACGGGTTTTCACAGAGTGACCACTGACTCCATTCTGTGTAGCCGCCATCAACTAAAATGAAATCAGAATTCTTTAATAAAAGACTTAAAAAAGAGTGGACGTCGTTGGTCAAAGGACAACTCGTCAGATTTAACAATGTAAACTACAATGTGAAATGTTACCAATAATTAACGTAAATCAAAACGGACCAAAAGGCTTTCCTTTTAAACACGTACAATAGCACTGGCTGGTATGGAAGATCAACAATAAATGCAGGATCATTAACAGGCTTCTTATAATGTTAGAAATAATCTCGAATTCAACTCAAACGTAAAGAAACAGGAAAAAATAAAATCCCGATGAATAAGTTGAATGGGGAGTTCATTAGGGAGTTTAGGTCGGTTCGACTGCTTTTGGCATATATCATAAGATTGAAACTTATAGTCATAATAGGGATCACACAAGTTTACTGCAGAAGCAAAGAAAATGCCTTTCTGATCGGGGAAAGAGAAATCTAAGAATGTCTTTACAACTTTCTTTAAACAGATCTAAATTTTTAAGTAACAAACATTTTCGGGCCGTCTTGGAAATATTCATTATTTCTTCCTTGAGTGCTTTTTCGCGGTGTTAAAGGCTGAGCAAATACTCTAATACTTGCCGAAAACCCGACACTTTTCTTAGGGGGTTCCAACACTTTCGGAGCGACAATTTGAAACAATATCGTTGGAACTAATATTGAAGTGAGTTAATTAATTTTTCTATTGATATTTCTCACTCAAAAAAATAGCAATGTTGCAGTGAATACTCACTCAAACAATCTAACTGCTGCGCATTTTCTCCTGTGCACCAAGCTCCCCCGTCACTTGGTATGGGATACGTGCAGGTTCTTGTTCGAATGCGCTGGTTTCCCGCGCAAATGCCGGCCGCACAGCCACTCCACGCTGACCAACCTGACCAGCCACCATTCACTATGGGAGGGAAAGGGTATAAAGTAGAGCAAAAGTAAATGAAGGGACAGACGAGTTCTTTCATTTTACTTTTTGCGTAATAAAACATATTCATGAATTGTATCATCTTAATCATATTATTTATGAAAAAGAAATAACAGAGTTGATGCTAAAAATGAAAGCACCTCTGGGAATTATCTTCTCAAGAATTAAGACGCCTACATAATCCGGAGAAACATTTGTTTCTGTTCATTGTTTAGTCTGCATATGGCCAACAGTTCATAAACTTGCATTTTTTTTTTTGTTGTCTTTCTAGACTATTTTTTTTTCACTGAAAACCGTCCATTTCAACGCTTAATGGTGTTAAAATATTAACAACTGAAAACTTTTTTCTAACACGTGGATATAAATTTCTCAAGACTGCCTTTTAAAATTTAAAGTGTTTGCTTTAAATTTCATTTTCAACTGCTTCAGAGTAATCAAAAAAAGTAGGAATTGAAACATACGCTTTTTAATCTGTCTTCGGTAACATGGCCATTTTCAAAACGTCCAGCACTTAAACCATTTAGCAGTCTTTGATGACACATTTTGGTGTTCGAATTATCTCAATATAGCTAGCTATTCTTTTAATATCTATTATAAAAGTGCAATAAACGAGACACTTACCAACGCCTCCAACAGAATTCAAGAAAGTTGCTAAAACTATTACAAGAAATATATTCATCACGATAGAATCAAAACTGTAACGAACTATCTACAATACAAAGCAAAAGCATAACCACAGCTTCTTTGCAATGGAGTGGCTTTCAAAGAAAGTGATAATGAAGTTCACTAATAAAATTCACATTCGGTAATTATGTAGACACCTGATATAACTCGACACTCACTGTTTTGTTAGGTGAATAAACAATTTTGTTCGTCGTGAAATCGTAACGGTGTAGGGTGTGTAATTGGAAACATGGAGATCGGTTAACTTAAAAATATTTTTAAAAACAGTGTGATAAGGAGAAGCAAGGAGAATTAAGATGAAAAACATTTTTATTTAATCACGAGTTTACGGAAAAAAATATTTGTGGGTAATTTCAAACGCACTGTTTGTATTTTTTTAAAAGAAAATAATTAGCATATTAAATAACATATTAACGAACACAGCTTTTAAGACACGTACAATGATCTATAATCATTCACAATCATTCCTTCATTCAACTCTTCTTCTGAGGTCCATTCAATGTGCTTTCCTTTGTACATTTAATGTCCATGAAAAATGGCTTAGATATGTAAAATACTGAGGTAACAGCAACGAAGCACTCTTGTAGAAAACTAATATCATATGTTTGGATTGAAGGTCAAAATTTAGTGACAGGGTGTTATATGGTATCAAACAATGTTCACGAAAAAAAAATTTGTGATAATAATCTGGCGTTTATGACATTTTTATTACTCTCAGTTCAGCTATAATATGCTTTTATAATTTACTTTCAACTTTATCCCATGATAGCGAAGTCTGTAATTCAACACGGCTTAAGGACTTACTGAAGTAGACGAGTGTGTTCTTCAAGTGGAAGTTAGAGAAAACCTTCTAGTCAAAATGATAAATATCAACAACAGCTTTCGGTTTACTAAAAATGTTTATCATTGTTATATTTGTTTAAATCAAAATATCGTATTATTGTGCAGTACTAACATGGACTCTTTATAAAGTTCTACACCAAGAAGAATTGAAATATCTCATAATCTCTCTTGTGATCAAGACAGGTGTCCCATTCCCATCAAAAAGACTACTCGATTCGTTTTATTTACATTCAATTAAGCACTAAAATAACCCGCGAGAAAATTGTTCTTGGGTACAAGATAGGGTCCAAAGGGCTTAGAATTCTAGGAAATGGCTTTAATCGAACAGTAGAAAAGAAATGTTTTTTTTTTGTTATAATTGGTGAGCAGGAACAAATAAAGCACGGGCTTAAACCGCATTTTTCAAGCCGTGGTAGGTTTGTACAATTGTACCAATTGCTTTGCCTCAGACTGAATGTTTTAGGTCACTGCTAATCGTACTGATAATCAACCGACATAAACATTGGTATAATAAGTTTCTCAAAAAAAGTGGCCGATTTCTTTTCTTACTTTAAGTAATAAATGAAAAAGTACCTTATATTATATGTAAAAATATGTCATCGAAACAGATAGCATTAGCTTCCCGACTTTTTCTTTTCAAAAGTGGTGAAAAAATTGGTTTAGTAAAATAATAAGGTTTTATAGTGATTTTAATTTTGTTGACTCACCTTCGGAAATTTTACATCGATATACTAATTAGTTTATCCGTGATGCTGAATTTCAACCATTCGTAACGAGAGTAATTAACATAGAACACCGAGCAAATCAAATGTGTTATAATATACGGTTTTGACTTCTGCTGCTCGAGAAAGCGTCTGTCAAGTGGGTAAGTTGAGCAAAGTACCACATCTAAATCAAAATATGTCTATATTTCTGAACCAACATCAGGTCTAATTAATCATTCATGTTTGGGAGTGTCTTCTTGGATTAGGTTTTCGCTTTCTTGGTCAGCGGATAAGCGTAGAAAGAGTTTAAGTACGTGGTGTAACCATCATAATTATAGTGGTTTCACGTTAGGTAATATGCAGTATGAATCTTAGCTCTATACTACACAGTCCTGCAGATAGACTGTGGGAAAGCCACAAACGTAAACCTGGACAAGGCGTTATGGAGCGTACACTTCAGCGTCATGGTTGTGGAACTGATTAATTGTAAATGAGGAGAAATAGTAACAAATGATATATGGTGAGAGTAAGGTGTCAATTTGTGAAATTATGGGATTTGTCAGGATATTCTGGAGAGCAACATCCATCAGGCCTACTTGCCAAAAACTAGCATTTCGGGGCAAATTGTCTCTTAGATATTAGCCCAGTTATGCTTTGATGACTCCATACAAATGCTTCTAAATTTGACTTGGGTCTAAACAAGTCAAATATATGAGGTGACTAGCGGTAAGTAATAAGTCTAACAAAACAAACAGTGAAAAAGGAATTCTCTATTTTTTTTTTACATCAGGCTTCGAAAACAGCATAACAGTCTCATGTACTCAGGAACCTAGTCTTTACGGAGCTTTAAAACACAGCTTTCGCCAATGCAACACAAATTGACTTGAACTTAAGTAAAACTAAACAGCCTCTGCCAATAATAACAAACTGTCACTTGAAATTCAGAGATCTTACGGCCTCCGCCAACTTGTAAACACAGAACATAAAAATCGACCTACAGCTCGTGGGAAAAAACTTAGTTCGTCAAAACAACTCGCTTGGTACTTGTATACCTTTTCACATAAGGTTTTAGAAAATACTAAACAGGCGAATAGTTGTAGCTTTTCGACATATTTTATGATTTCAGTAACTGATGCAAATCTGCTGACTCATACTGAAATGTAGACATGCTCTAACTAAGTATTCATGAATGACCCAAAAACGTAGAGAACATTCGAGAAAGCATAACAGGCCAGAGCCCCGATTTTAGTGCGCGCAGGAGGAGGCCTAATCTCCACAGCAACCACCGCAAATCGGTTTCCAATAACAGACAAGGTAGTTAGTTTTAAGCATTCCTCCAGACACCTTTGGAGAGCGCCGGACACATTACCTGTCAAGGAACTTTGTACTTCTGATTAAACGAACCAGACATCTCAAGGAAACGCGAAATTTGATCAGACTATTTGGGTATTATAAATTCATTTCACGGTCGATTGAAAATTTGGAAGTCGATCTTCGCGCCTCTGGCTTCGCAATTGATAACTACAGTTTTCTCGCCGCATTTGGATTCAAATAGGCTTGATACGCTTTCAATGGTTTTTCAAGTGCTTTCTTTTAAGAAAATAGTGCTCCGATGGCTTATTTAACTTCTGCCAAGAGTGGTTTGCCGTGTCAACATTGGTGACCTTCGAAGCGAAAACAGCGAGTCGGCGTATCAAGTTTTTACTGTGGAGCCGCAAGTAGGAATACACTCTCTGCTGGCACATCTTTCTCCGGTTTGGAAGGAACTCGGCGTGGAAAAGACCCTGACCAAAGAAATTTTTAAATCTTCTCTATTTGAACGTTTGAGAAAAGCCGTCAACAATGCACATTTTATAGTCGGCGGAGAAAACGAAAGCGAGAGCTCGAGCTCTACTTCACATCCCCTTGAGGAACAGCAACACCGATTATCTGATTCAATGGACGACCTTTTTGATCAAACGGCGAAGGATTCAAGTCTTTTTTCTCTGGCTTAAGACGATGTAAGCGTCGATGTGCCTCCAGTGACAAATCACTCTCCAAAAAGCCCGCCAAGCACTCTCGAAATCCCGCCAAAATCTTATTCGCTGGAAGGAGCCCAAGACGCTGGATTACTCCAGATATTCTAGCTTCCACTTCAACATCTTCGTGTTCGCGTGGGCGATCTGTATAATCAACGTCACAGATACAGTATGGTTTCTATATCAGTCATTTTAGCCTCCTTGAAATGTCAATCATAATCCAAAAATTATTATTTCAGTTTACCTTTGTATTGTTACTTGCTTTTTACTTAATTAATAGGCCACATTATAGGGCTACCCTCTCCCTCAGAGCTTACAGGCGGCGCGCCCAAGATTCTGAGGTGAAGGTAGTCTCTCTTTTGAAATGTCGGTCATAATCCAAACAATTTTTGTAGGTGATTTTTGTAGTGTCATAGGCCAAATTATAGGGCTACCCTCTCCCTCAGAGCTTACAGGCGGCGCGCCCAAGATTCTGAGGTGAAGGTAGTCTTTCTTTTAAAATGTAGGTCATAATACAAATGATTTTTGTAGGTTGTTTTTGTACTGTCATTTGTTTTTGAAATAGGCCAAATTATGGGGCTACCCTCTCCCTCAGAGCTTACAGGCGGCGCGCCCAAGATTCTGAGGTGATGGTAGTCTCTCTTTTGAAATGTCGGTCATTATCCAAATTATTATTGTAGGTTATTTTTGTAGTGTCATTTGTTTTTGAAATAGGCCAAATTAATTATGGGGCTACCCTCTCCCTCAGAGCTTACAGGCGGCGCGCCCAAGATTCTGAGGTGATGGTAGTCTCTCTTTTGAAATGTCGGTCATTATCCAAATTATTATTGTAGGTCATCTTTGTTTTGTCATTTGTTTTGAAATAGGCCAAATTATGGGGCTACCCTCTCCCTCGGAGCTTACAGGCGGCGCGCCCAAGATTCTGAGGTGATGGTAGTCTCTCTTTTAAAATGTTGGTCATTTATCCAAATTATTATTGTAGGTTATTTTTGTAGTGTCATTTGTTTTTGAAATAGGCCAAATTATGGAGCTACCCTCTCCCTCAGAGCTTACAGGCGGCGCGCCCAAGATTCTGAGGTGATGGTAGTCTCTCTTTTGAAATGTCGGTCATTATCCAAATTATTATTGTAGGTTATTTTTGTAGTGTCATTTGTTTTTGAAATAGGCCAAATTAATTATGGGGCTACCCTCTCCCTCAGAGCTTACAGGCGGCGCGCCCAAGTTTCTGAGGTGATGGTAGTCTCTCTTTTGAAATGTCGGTCATTATTCAAATTATTATTTTAATTCTTCTTTGTACTGTCATTTGTTTTGAAATAGGCCAAAATATGGGGCTATCCTCTCCCTCAGAGCTTACAGGCGGCGCGCCCAAGTTTCTGAGGTGATGGTAGTCTCTCTTTTGAAATGTCGGTCATTATCCAAATTATTATTGTAGGTTATTTTTGCATTGTCATTTGTTTCTGAAATAGGCCAAATTATGGGGCTACTCTCTCCCTCAGAGCTTACAGGCGGCGCGCCCAAGATTCTGAGGTGATGGTAGTCTCTCTTTTGAAATTATAATTGTAGGTTATTTTTGTAGTGTCATTTGTTTTTGAAATAGGCCAAATTAAGGGGCTTCCCTCTCCCTCAGAGCTTACAGGCGGCGCGCCCAAGATTCTGAGGTGAAGGTTGTCTCTCTTTTAAACTGTCAGTCGTCAACCATAGTATTATTGAATTTTCATTTTCCAGAGTTCATAGTGGTACCTTCTTTATAGTTTTACGTGATTTGTGGCAAAGACAAGACCAGGATAACAAATTTATTCTACTTTATGCGTGATGCGACAATCACCGTGGCTGACTTGCCTCCAAAGTTCCTTTATAAGTTGGACGCTTCTCAGGAGTTCCTTCACTGCTTGTAATCCAGAATTGGCGATTCTCAGCAGCTTGAAGCTCTTGCTTTTCATCAGTTGTTCCTTGGACGGCGACCTTTTCTTGTCCCGAGTACAATATCGATTCTCGATTCTCGACTCTCGATTACCGTATCTTGCTGGTGCAAGGTTTCGGCAACGGGACCAGTACTAAAACCATTGCAGGAATATCACTGCCAAACTGCGCAACAGAATGCACGAAAAACCTCTCCAGTAGTTGAAAAAAAAAGAAAAAGAACCTGCGATGTAATTAGGTAACTTATTCATGGTGTTCAGCTTCCGGTTTATTCAGCTTATTGCCAGTTGTAGGCAAAGTTCACGCGCACATTATCGCATTCTAACTGGGTCGATTGTGAGGAAACTGTTATGTCAGTCATTGACTAAAAACCCCCGCGCGTTAAGCCTTTGTGCGACGGACGTCCCTTAGAAATATAAATTGCCCACACTGATCACCAATTCTACTTGCAAAGTGTTGCTGATTGAGTTCTGTAATGTATTCTAGAGTGTAAATTTAGTACTAACCTCGCAGACAAGGGTGCAATGAGACATTTATTTTGCGTAGTTAGGCCTGCTATCCATTGGGCAACCATCCCTTTTATTTTCTTTCGATAGCCTGTCCATGAACTAACCTTTGGGTACAGAAACTAGCTGCCTCTCGCTGTACCAAAACTTGATAGTTTTGGCGTTCAATATTTTTAACGGATGCTCACAAAACACCGGGACTGCATCGTGCGCCTTTGGCGCTTTGGTATCCTGCGAGCTTTGGTTCATCGCGTTTTGAAAGATGGAAATTTTGATATTCCCGCGAAAAAGAAGACCGATAAAACGCATCTTTCATTGACTACGGTGAAACGCCCGGAAATGAAGGATGTTTTGAAAGAAACGGGAAAACTGATAAAAGTAAATATTTGTTTTGATCAAGTGAAATTAATGAGAAATAACCATAAACTAGTTTTGTGTTTTTGTTTTTTAAAAGCGGTTTGTCTGGTACCAGATTTGTACAATTACTTTCAATCAAACATGGATCGGGTTTTGTTAATTATGACAGAATGTAATTAAAAAGCATTATGTTGACAGCTACAAGGCACATGCTTGCCTTAAGCTGCGAGTATCCCGCCATGTTTTAAACAAAGGGCCTCTGACCAAGCCGGCATTCTAATCCGCCACAAATATGTGAAGCACGCGTCTTTCAAAGTCGCCTAGTACTTAAAATCGGCGCTCTGGCCTGTTATGCACGCAACGTGTGACGGCAATTTTACCACGCATTACTCAACAAAGACAAAACGTCTTTGTGTAGCATTTTGTAACTTTAAATTCATCGTAAAACAGTTCGAAAGGAGCGCTCACTCGTGATATTTTTCAACACTCGAAGAGAAACTTATTGCCTCTGCGCGGCCATGTAATTCTATTTATTGCTCGAGTAAATTAAAGACTAAACTCGAAGTGATCTCAAGATTCTGGTCTCATTTCGTGATTAGAAATAGCCGAAACAAGCCGAAACGTCACGAACTTGCACGCCCAATCTTGTCCCGAAACTAGTGTATAATTTCATAACTATTTTTCATATCCCAAACAACCTTCGGTCGCAGTAGCGCAATCGGCTAATCCATCAACTCAGAGTCTCTTCTGATCTGACGGGTCACACAGGTGAGTCGGCTCAAACCCCGGAAAAGCCCAAATAATATTTCCTTCTTTTTCCAATAAGTTAAAGAATAAATCAAGGAAATCGAAGTGATCTCGAGAATTAAACCCAAAATCTGCAGACTTTGCTTGCCCAATCCTGTCCCAAACAAGCAACTTTGGGACATTCCTGAGCGTCGCGATTCCTTTACTTCGCGTTCCGCCGAAGTAAAAACGCGGATGATTTGTCACAAAAATAAAATCTATTTATAAAACTTTTTTCTATGAATAGTTTTCTTCAATGCCAATCTAGGCGTCATAAAAGTTGAAGACTGACCAAGCAGATGGCTTAAAACATTAAGAAATAGTCAAGTTGAAAACCATGCAGGATTTGCATAATTAAGGCACACGTGCTTTAATGCAACACGCTCTTAGAGGCCGCGTTAATTGAGCATCTTAAGGTGACTCGACCCATTTTTTTGGGGGGGTACCATCCTACTTTGAAGCTCTCTGGTATCCCCACCTTTACTTTTATCGTAGGTATAACACATAGAATGGATAACATATAGATCAATCTGCAATATAACATAAAATTTTTGGCGATCGGAGTAAATGTCACGTGGTTATAATGCCACGCCCCTTTGAGGTCTGAGTCGAAAATCGGCTGTTGCCGGCATTTTTTCGTGAAAATCTCTCGGCTACACGTAGTGCGCATTAGTGCCTTGCGCTGAACAGAGTTTCACCAAAATCGCAAAGACCCAATTCGAGAAATTCAGCGGTTTCCAAATTTAGGTCATAATTTGTGCGAAAATGATAAGCAAACTTTACATGGATTATATATAATAAACTATGAGATTCATCTCTTTATTTTGGGCATCGTTATAACAGATGGGTCCTTGCAAGTCAGCAAAACGCTTTAGGGTCTTGTAAATGCGCGCGATTTCGAGCAAAGCAAACATATAGAAATTATAGTTTTCGCTATTTGTTGACGTTTGTCAGCGTTTGAGAGTCCTTCTCACGAAAAAAGCATTTTCTTAAAAATTCGTAGTTTTTTTTTCCTTCAAATTTTTTCAGGGCCACAATTGATTAACTAACTACCCGGACTCTGAATTTCATGGTCATTGAAAAACTGTGACATTATCTTCTATAAGCCCAAACTTGAGTAAACATTGAAGATTTTTAGCGTTTTGGCTGAGTTTGTGCTTTGGGAGTTGTCTATTGTTTCTAGTCTGTCATGATACAGCATTCTTGTTCAGCACGCGTGCAATGACCGCGCTTGGCTGACTTCCGAATGCTCACCGAGATATTATAAATTTGGTACAGTGAGACAGGCCATCGCGTGATACATAGAGGTTTAACTAACAATTTTTAATCAATTCTCGTGCTTCTTGTGTCTTTGCAAAAAAATCAAGAAGTGCTACACATTAAGTCTACTTACTATTACAAAAATATCATTTTTTCATAGGTTTAATGCAAGCAAATAATTAAACCAACTCGTGACGGGAATATCTCGGTGAGCATTCGGAAGTCAGCCAAGCGTGGTCATTGCACGCGTGCTGAACAAGAATGCTGTATCATGACAGACTAGAAACAATAGACAACTCCCAAAGCACAAACTCAGCCAAAACGCTAAAAATCTTCAATGTTTACTCAAGTTTGGGCTTACAGAACATAATGTCACAGTTTTTCAATGACCATGAAATTCAGAGTCCGGGTAGTTAGTTAATCAATTGTGGCCCTGAAAAAATTTGAAGGAAAAAAAACCACGAATTTTTAAGAAAATGCTTTTTTCGTGAGAAGGACTCTCAAACGCTGACAAACGTCAACAAATAGCGAAAACTATAATTTCTATATGTTTGCTTTGCTCGAAATCGCGCGCATTTACAAGGCCCTAAAGCGTTTTGCTGACTTGCAAGGACCCATCTGTTATAACGATGCCCAAAATAAAGAGATGAATCTCATAGTTTATTATATATAATCCGTGTAAAGTTTGCTTATCATTTTCGCATAAATTATGACCTAAATTTGGAAACCGCTGAATTTCTCGAATTGGGTCTTTGCGATTTTGGTGAAACTCTGTTCAGCGCAAGGCACTAATGCGCACTACGTGTAGCCGAGAGATTTTCACGAAAAAATGCCGGCAACAGCCGATTTTCGACTCAGACCTCAAAGGGGCGTGGCATTATAACCACGTGACATTTACTCCGATCGCCAAAAATTTTATGTTATATTGTAGATTGATCTATATGTTATCCATTCTGTGTGTTAGACTTACGATAAAAGTAAAGGTGGGGATACCAGAGAGCTTCAAAGTAGGATGGTACCCCCTAAAAATAACTGGGTCGAGTCACCTTAAGATTACGAGAGCTAACAGTCTCTGTTTCAAAACAATATGGGTTATTGTTTCAGAATATCAGAACGATTAATTGTGCAACGAGCCCCAAACAACCAAGCTCTAAGTAAGAAAAAATGCTCAACTTTTTTCTGCTGAATTAAGCTGGAAGACAAATGGTGAACGACATAGCTGTGAAATAACGAAGTTACAGACGCGTATATAGGAGACTATACTATATGGAACATGAAAATCTGCACCTATGACGCCATATCACTCATATCATTCTTTCAAAAAACACTTAAAGACATATTTATTTCACCAAGATTTTTCTTAATTATAAATAGATTTTTATTTAATTTTCATACTTATATATGTAGTTGTTAGATTTGTTAGAGTTTTAATACATTTTTTATTGTAAAGCGCCAAGAACAGTTAATGATATAGAGGCTATATAAATAACGTTTATGTATTTATTATATCTATTTATCACTATATCC